TTTTTTTTTTTTTTTTTTTTTTTTTTTTTTTTTTTTTTTTTTTTTTTTTTTTTTTTTTTTTTTTTTTTTTTTTTTTTTTTTTTTTTTTTTTTTTTTTTTTTTTTTTTTTTTGTATCAATCAGAGATATTTTATATTATTATATTCTGATTTATTATTTTAATCAAAGAAATTAATTTTTTCAAATCATTTTCAGTGTAGTGAGAAGCATATTTGTTCTCATCTCTTTTTTTTCAAAATTTTAAAAACATTTTTATGTCAATAATTAAACCATTTAATTCTTTTAAAAAAAATACAATTTTACTTGTGATATAATTATATAACATATATTTATCTTATTTTTATTTAATTTCATAATTACTTGTTTCGATATTTAATCTCTAATAAACAATTTATAGTTAGGTTATGTTCACTTGTAATAACAAAATAAAAAACTGACAATATTTTGTCTTGTAATTAATTTTTTTGCAGGATGATCATATCCTTTCCTATAATGGCTAAAAGAATGTTATGGGGGAAAGAAGTTGAAAGTAAATAGTGGCTTCTGAGACACTTTCACATGCTAACTTCAATTCATATCTTATAAATGGCTGTGAGTATCAGTTTTTTCTGGAGTTCCACTCAACAATTGCAGAGAGAAGACTGAAATTTGGTATCAAATTCTTATCTGGCAATGGCAACTTCGTGATCGGTGAGTTATCGTTCTCTTGTAGCCACTTCTCGATCGCCCAACGATCGTACGTGTACCCATCTGCAGCTACACACGGATCATTCATCACATCCTGCAGAGAAATTTAGAAAAGTATCAAATGGTTTAGGAATTTGAGTCTCTAAGGTTATAATCACAAGACCAGTTGAGCTATGCTTAAGTTGACTTTGTTCGTACCTGTAGAATTGGACAGATGAAATGATTAGGAATCGGAGCTGGAACTTTCGAGGCCAAACTTCGAGCCTCATCAGCAACGTTTTTCAGTGTCAGCAACAAGGGAAGCACATGATCCTTCAAGTCAGGCCTATCTTTACGTTGCATCTCTGCACAGTGAAGTCCTAATCTTGCTAGTTCATATGTTTCTTCCACCGGCCAATGTCCAGCCTCTATATCCAGAACCTTATCTAAACTGCAGTTATCAATGGCTGTTTCCACCACATGGGTTAGTGCTACTGCTGGTTTTGCAGTTAGTAACTGCAAGATCACCATTCCAAAAGCATACACATCCGACTTCAGCGAGATTAATCCGCTTCGTTGGTACTCGGGATCAATGTAACAGAGAGTCCCAACAGGTCCACTGTTATTGAATGCAGTAGACATTAATGGGTCCGAGTTAAACACGGTAGATAGACCGACGTCGCCGATTTTGCTCACGAGGTTTCGGTCGAGTAATATGTTTGCTGGCTTAAGATCACGGTGGATTATCGGTTTTGGTTTCGAGCTGTGAAGAAAGACGAGAGCCGAGGCTATTTCCCAAGCTATTCGGAATCTCTCATACCATGGAATTGCAGGTGTATTGCCTCTGCAGTATAACCTATCCTCCAAGCTACCATTTTCCATGTACTCATAAACCAGACAGTTCATATCCGGACATGCACCGAGGAGGAGTAGTAGATGAGGATGATGGATTTTGCTCAAGATTTCAAGCTGAAAAGAAACAAGGACAGATTTTGATAAAAAATGTAACGAAATTTGAGCAGAAAAGCAACAAGGGACAGATTTTGATCGAAAACGTAATGAAATTTGAGCAGAAAAGCAACAAGGGGCAGATTTTGATCAAAAACGTAACGAAGTTCGAGCTGAAAAGCAACAAGGGATAGATTTTGATCGAAAACATAACGGAGTTTGAGCTGCAAAGCATCAAGGGACAGATTTTGATCGAAAACATAACGAAGTTCAAGCTGAAAAGCAACAAGGGACAGATTTGAGTTTGAGCTGCAAAGCAACAAGGGACAGATTTTAATCGAAAACGTAACGAAGTTTGAGCTGAAAAGCAACAAGGGACAGATTTTGATCGAAAATGTAACGAAATTCTAAAAGAAACATGTTTGTGAGATGTTATTTTGAACAGTTCACTCACCTCCTGAAGAAATTGGGTCTTTTTGTGATCATCTCTAGAATGAAGAACCTTTACTGCTACAGTTGTATGATGTAAACTGCACTTATAAACTGTTCCATGTGCTCCCATTCCAAGCTTAAGATCCTCTGAGAAAGATGATGTTGCAGAAACAATATCTTCCCACTGAAAATGTTGGTATTGCTGCAGAGGTCCTTCAAGAGCATTCTCATGCTTTCCTTTCTCTTTGACATCTTGAAGAGCTTTTGTCTCTGCTTCCTTCCTGTAGATGCCCTCTCTTTCGGCACGTTCTTTTACGTACTTCGCTTCTCTTCTTAAAGCTTCACGCTTCGTTCTCTCTTCCCTTGCAAATTCTTTGGCAGCCACCTCTCTGTTCTTGATCTCGTCGAGCTTCCTAGCATCCTCCAATCGTTGTTTATTTAGATGGTTCAGCTGATAAAAATCAATAATGGGGTGGGTGACTGTCAAAGAGCATGAAAAGAAAACAAGTAGAGGGAGGAGTACTCATAGGTTATGAATGATGAATAGAAAAATGATATCTACCTTTCGAGAGGCATCGATCGTCTCTCGTTGAGCAATTGCGTACATTCCTCTCGCATGTCTTAGTTTGATTCTCAACTTTTCAAGCTCAAAGTTGACATCCGTCTGTCAATGCAAGAAGCAAATTGAATATACAAATATGTCATAGTAACATCAAATAAATGAACGTCAGAATGAAAGAAGCATTGTTTATAAGGGTGTGAAAACCTCTCCCTAACAGACGTCAAACGCATTTAAAACCCTAAGGAGTCACGAAGAGAAAGCTCAAAGAGAATAATATCTACTAACGGAGGGGGCTTGGGTTGTTACAATGGTATCATAGCCAGACAATCGGGCAGTGTGCTAGAGAGGACACCGGGTCACCCCGGATTGTGAGATCTACATTGGTTGAAGAAGGGAACGAACCATTTTTTATAAGAGTGTGGAAATCTCTTTCTAACAGAAAACCTTGAGGGGAAAACTGGAAGGAAAAGTCCAAAGAAGATAATATCTACTAGAAGTGGACTTGGGCTGTTACAATGATATCATAGCCAGACAACCAGGCAGTGTGCCAGCGAGGACGCTAGGCCACTCCGAATTGTGAGATCCCACATTAGTTGGAGAGGGGAACGATGACACAAGAACGCTAGTCCCCCAAGGGGGTGGATTGTGAGATCCCACGTTAGTTGGAAAAGGGAACGAAACATTTTTTATAAGGGTGTAGAAACCTCACCCTAACAGACGCATTTTAAAATCGGAAGGGAAAGCTATAATCTCTCTCAACCACTAGTGGTGAATTACATATAAGCTCTCCAAGAAAGAATTAGAGCCTTAAATGGATGCAAATGCTCAAGCCAAAAAGACCAAAAGATAACAAGCCAAGGGAACATATGAAATGATCCATTGAACTAACAACAAGCCAAGGCAAATAGCAGATGGATTACCTGACTTTCACATGAAACGTGATCACTGAACACGCCTGAGGACGAAGCTTCATCAATCCAAGATTGGCCATCTGTAGGCAAACTTTTACAGCTAGAGTCTCGACTCAATGTTCGTGCACAATCTGAAACATAGGAAGAAGAACGAACACCATCCACCTGATCCTCAATATCAACAGATTGACATCTAGAATGATCAGCTTTAATGGGGCTTGATTTCGTCGTAAGAAGAGTCTGGTTGATGGTTGAAAGAGCTTGAAATCGTTGTAATGGTAGGGACGGGGAAGAAGAAGGGAAATCAGAGTAGGGCGTAGTTAAGCTCGAATTGCTATCTGTATCAACAAAACAGGAAAAAATGAATAATAAAATTTATAATATGAACTAAAGATGAACAAACACTATCTCTGGTTGAATGCTGGTAAAATATGCATGCAGATCAAAGCTAATGGCTACCAGTAACTGAGCTGGATGAATAGCTCAAGTAGCTATTTGCAGAACTTGATTCACTCGCATCATCTTTAATGCTCACGTTTGTCTCCATATCAGGCTGCCGTATTGAGGCTAATTGTCCTTTTGAAATAGCATAGACTGTACAATGTCTAGGTGCAAGTGCTGATATTCTTGAGGATAGACCATTTAGTTTCCTACCAAAAAATGTCATCCAGACACGACAAAAAGATGAGAAAATAAACATAATACTATGTTTGAGAGCTGAAATATGTACTCAACAAAGTGTAATGAGAAAATAAACAGAAATCAGTGTAATGATAAAATAAGCAGCAGTTGTCCCTTTAGGCTTACTGTCCCCGACAAAGTGTAAGAACCTAGTACAATGTCATTGAAACGGTCAAAGTCCACCGCTAGTAGATATTGCTTCTTTGGGCTTTTCCATTTGGGCTTCCCGTCAAAGTTTTTAAAACCCGTTTACTAAAGAAAGGTTTCCACACCCTTATAAGGAATGTTTCGTTCTCCTCTCCAACCAATATGGGATCTCACATTCCACACCTCCCTTGGGGCCAGCGTCCTCGCTGGCACACCGCTCAGTATCTAGCTCTGATACCATTTGTAACAGCCTAAGGCCACCGCTAGTAAATATTGTCCGCTTTAGCCCGTTGCGTATCGCCGTTAGACTCATAGTTTTAAAACACGTCTACTAGGGAGAAATTTCCACACCCTTATAAGGAATGTTTCGCTCCCCTCTCCAACGGATATAGGATCTCACAATTCACCCCTCTTGGGGGCCAGCGTCCTCGCTGGCACACTGTTCGGTGTCTGGCTCTGATAACATTTGTAACAGCCCAAGGTCACTACTAGTAAATATCGTCTGTTTTAGCCCATTACGTATTGCAGTCAATCTCACGGTTTTAAAACACGTCTACTAGAGGTTTCCACACGCTTATAAGGAATGTTTCATTTTCCTCTCAAACCAATGTGGGATCTCACAATCCACCCCTCTTGAAGGCCAGCGTCCTCGTTGGCACACTACCCGGTGTCTGGCTCCGATACCATTTGTAACAGTCTAAGACCACCCCTAGTAGATATTGTCCGTTTTAGCCCATTACGTATTGCCATCAGCTTCACAATTTTAAAATACGTCTACTAGAAAGAGGGTTCTACACCCGTATAAGGAATGCTTTGTTCTCCTATCCAACCAATGTGGGAATCAGGCACTTGTGTCCTGATGTCTCCACGTTAATCTCGTTTATAACTTTCACAACCCTACAGAAACCTTCATTTGATGTTTGTCATTACATATCTTAATTTAGTAAAGAGCATGCTAAAGAGAGTTAATTACCATGAGAAAAAACCCTGTGATGAAACTCCTATAACAAGCTTGCTAATTGAACACTTCGTGACCTCTTCTATTATTGCATTTGCCACATCATCTGCTTCAAGAGTCACAACATCAAGTTGAACCTACATTTTGAAAGAAGATTTCAGCTTATTCTGTTTTCCTATCCACAATTCAAATTAGTGTAAGGCCGGACCTTTCTTTGAGCAAACATCTTCGTGTATGGAAGAAGCTTTTCGTTCGTCTGCCACCCGATTTCTTTCCTATAAGCTGCAGCGACATCGTCACGAACTTGTGAAACTGGAATTGAATTCCCCACTGCATCAACATTGGCATACAGCTTGAATATGCTATCTAGATAAAGTTTAGTGTTAGCCACAAGGAAGTATAGGGAAAATCTGATCAATTTTTACGTCTAATGAGATTTTGTCTCACACGTTAAGAATTAAAAAATGAACACAACGTATAGGGTTGAAGTAACTTGGTCATGTCGGGAGGTTATTACCCTCTGAATGGACCATGCTTGACCTTGTCTTTTCACCTTAGTAGTCCTATGCATGGTCAGTACTATAGCTCCATGGCCTAATTTTCTGCGTCATTTCTTAACCTCATGATGCAACTTTGTTCAAGATTACATTGTGAGGGTGGATTTGCACATATTGGGGTCACTACATGTAACCGTGCAAGTCCACTGCTAATAGATATGGTCCTCTTTAGGTTTTTTCTTTCGGACTTCCCCTCAAGGTTTTTAAAACGTGTCTGCTAGGGAGAGGTTTCCACACCCTCATAAAGAATGTTTCGTTCCCCTCTCCAACTGATATGGGATCTCACAATCCACTCCGATTCGGGGCCTTTGGGCTTTCCCTCTTGGACTTCCTCTCAAGGTTTTTAAAACGCGTTTGCTAGGGAGAGGTTTCCACACCCTTATAAAGAATGTTTCGTTCCCCTCTCCAACCGACGTGGGATCTCACAATCCACCCCCCTTTGGGCTTTCCCTTTCGGACTTCACCTCTAAGTTTTCAAAACGCGTCTGTTAGGGAGAGGTTTCCACATCCTTATAAAGAATGTTTTGTTCCTCACTCCAATCAATGTAGGATCTCACAATCCACCCCCCTTCCGAGCCTTTGGGCTTTCCCTTTCGGACTCCACCTCAAGGTTTTTAAAACGCATCTGCTAGGGAGACGTTTCCACACCCTTATAAAGAATGTTTCGTTGCCCTCTCCAACCGATGTTGGATCTCACAATTCACCCCCCTTTAGAGCATTTGGGCTTTCCGTTTCGGACTTCCCCTCAAGATTTTTAAAGCACATCTGCTAGCGAGAGGTTTCCACACCCTTATAAAGAATGCTTCGTTTCCCTCTCCAACCGATGAAGGATCTCACAATGCACCCTCTTTCGGGATCCAGCATCCTCACTGACACTCGTTCCTCTCTCCAATCGATGTGGGATCTCACAATCCACCCCTTTAAAGCCTAGCATCCTCACTGGCACTCGTTCCTCTCTCCATAATGTGGAAACTCATGGATCTTAAGATGGTCACAAAAATGTGTACTTTTCAATTTTCAGTACAAGAACCAAGCGTAAAGTGAACCTCCACATAAACAACCAAAAACATATTCAATTTGAAGTGCACGGCTTACTTGGAGTTGGGACACTAGTAATCCTCGGTGTGACATGTAGCAGCTTGAAATTAATGATGCCCTCAGGTAGAAACTTTTCCAACGACCACCTAATTATATATCTACTGTTTTTCTTCCCACTGATAGCAACGGCTACAACTGGAGAAGGGGAAGGCAGTGAAATAAGATCGGCTTCCTCTTCCATCCCCTCCATAATGATGCAACTCTAATGCATCGAACTGTCTGAGCAATGTGGAAAGAATGTCAATCAAGTATAATACATCAAAACAACATAAAGTTTTACAGCAAAATGGCTCATATTTAGTAGACCTAGCTAACGTATTGGACCAGATATCTTGTATGATACTGTAACGTTCTACCCCAAGATTCAAACACAGGTCCTTCTAGCATGCGACGACATGAATGAGCCAACACCACATTTGATTGATACGAATCGTGAAACTATACAAGCATAAGACAGGAGTTACTAGTTACTATCTATACCAACAAATATAGCTTTCTTTTTAGTGGCTCAACATAAAAACGTCAAGCTTAACCTTGAGTCAATCATATATAGGGTGTAACAGCTTAAGGCCACTGCTAGCAGATATTGTCCGCTTTAACCCGTTACATATTGCCGTCAACCTCACGGTTTTAAAACGCATCTACTAAGAAGAGGTTTCCACGCCCTTATGAGGAATGCTTCGTTCTCCTCTCCAACCAACGTGGGATCTCACATAGGGTGGCCTTTTAGGGATATTTACAAAAATACGAGTGAGGAAAAAACATGCTAAGAAATCCGTTCAGGTATGTAGAAACAATATCAACCTCTTGTAAGCAGCTCAAGTGGAAGGATGAGAGTTCTTTGGGGGAAGGGAAGTTGTTTGATACAGAGAGAATTATCCAATGCCCTCCGAGTTCAATAAACACCCAGAAAGTTGGGGAGAAACAAGACAGTATATCAGATTCAAAGCATCAAACAACAAAAAGAGAAACAAATAAGGATTTCCCAGTTAATCAATTAACACCAAATAAAAAAAAAAAACGAGCCCCAGCTGCTTGGAATTCCAAAAATAAGAACAACCCAGTTCAAACAGAGTACAGATAAATTAGGAAGAGGTAGAGAATATGAAAAAAGTACCCTCCACGGCCAGAATCCGCCGCCGGAGATGCCCAAGTCCACCGTGCCTCGCAACCAGAAAACCTGCGTTTAAAAGTCCACAGAAAATCAAAGTAAAAATGGGAATCGTGTTAGTGTGGGAAAGGGAAGAAATGGGGAAATTGGTCAAAATTGTTTATGGTCGTCCATTCCTAAACTCATTCGCAGACATGAAAGCAAGACTTTGAAGGTGATATTAAGTAATAACTCCTCATATGACGTTGTGGCCCACCTTACCCCAATTTCTAATACTCATGCTCCAATGCGCAGCGATGAACAATGAATCGACATGGCACAACCTTTTCATAAATGGTTAACTCTATCTATCAGCTATTATTATTCAACATGACCCTTTTGGTGAATAATAATTTTATTTTAATAATTTAAAATTGGTGAATAAATCAATTGAAAATAGCTATAAAATAATTTTTTGGCTTTGGATTTTTGTTGATCCAACTCTACAATTTATGGGTATTAAATTTTTTCTCTTTTCCTTTGTTGAATTTTTTATCGTCTTTTTAATCATAAGTTTATATTGTATCAATTTCGAATGTAAACCCTTTTAATTAATTTGTAAAAATCTTTACGGATTAATTTTAATAAAATAAAATTTAGTACAATTTTTTTTAACAAATATATAAATTAATCATCGAATATTTTTAATAAATTTTATAAATTTCAACGATATATTTATCTCTATCCTTCTTTTTATCGAGAATTTTATTAAATTTATATCGTACATCTTTTTTTATATAATTTATTAAATGGATATGATAAAGAATATAATTTTAATTTACTAATTTATTATAAAAATATATTAGCAATAGATTAAATAAAAGTACAACCAAAATTAAAAATTAAAAATTAAATTTTTATCAAACCCACAACCACAAAAGTCAATAATATATATATATATATTTTTTTTTTAAATTGTCATTTAATATATTAAATATATTGGGTAGGAAGGTGGTTTAGTTAAGACTGAAATTAAATGGAAAATTTATATCATTCAAATTATATATTTATTTTAATTATATCTATGATGGTAGTATGAAAATTTTAATATTGTATAAATAATTAAAAAAATTTAAAATAATAATATTAATAATGGGGATAAACCAATTTTTTAAATATGATGTATCAACATCCAAATAGATAATTGGGATAGGTAATGTATAATATAGAAAAAAAATTAAAATAAATTTGTGATTTTTAATTTTAAATTTATTTTCAAACATTAAATTTTTAAATTTCCCATAAAAATAACAAAGACGTCCATTTATTAGTAAAAAATAATATAATTTTGTCTTTTTTATTTTATTAGTGATAGCTCATTTTTTTGATGTCTATTCCTCGGTCAACGAGTCTTTTTTATCTTAAAATCTAAAAATATTTCGGAGTTTCAATTTTGTGTTTAATAATTATATGATAATTTAAAAATAAATAAAAACTAATTATTATATATAAAATTGAATTTTATAAATTTAAACTTTTAATTCTATATTTAATAGTTTTATAAATTTTTTTAAAATGTGGAACATGTAAATGACTATTACCTATAAAATTAAAATCGTGAAGCTAATGTTAATACATAACGGGCCAAAGCGGATAATATATGTCAACTGTGTACTTGAGCTCTTATAAATTGTATTATAAATTGTATCAAAGCTAGCTTGAACGTTGGACCTTGAATTGTGAGATCTAATCTGGTTGAAGAGGGGAACAAAATATTCCTTATCAGGGTGTAGAAGTCAGAAGTCATGATTATGAGATCCACAGCATTGGTGGGAGAGAATTGTAAGACTGACAATAATATCTAACAGGACAAAATCGACAATATTTGCCAGTGGTAGGCTATGTAATAGAGACAGTTGAGAGTTCAATCCTAAACTTATAATTTAATATATATATATATATATATATATACTATTTTTCTAATTAAATTATTAAGAAAGTATTAAACTTTGTCAATTCAAGCATAACTCAACAGATAAAAATTTTATCATCTCCAATGTCAATACCTGTAATTGTTAAATTAAAAAAATCTCGATTCTCCAAATCAAAAAATAAGGTGGTTCCAAAAATACAAAAATTGACTGAATGAAACGAAGTGAGATATGCATATTTGAAATTATAATTTTTGAAATATTAACAAATGAATTTCAAAGTTGTCAATTCTAAGTAATTAAGTAGATAAAATATGTATTACCCTCTCAAACATTATTTATTATTTATTTAACGACTAATAGGTTATTATATTCCAATTTGAAATTTGAAGGATAGGTTAAAATCATTATATTAATATGAAATTATTTACTTAAAAATGTTACGAGTCTTTGAAAAATCATGTCAGGATAATTTAAACCCAACAATATAACAATATATAATTAAATACAAAATTTTGAGAATAAATTGAAAATTTTAAAATTATAATAATCGTATTTTAAAAAAAAAAAAACTTTTAGGCAAGGTTAATAATTAAAATAAAACATTTAAAAATTAAGAAATTAGAATAAGATATTTGGAAATTTAGGAACAAAATAATAGTAATAAAAATAATTAATTAAAATCAAAATTGAAATTATCCTCGCGTTTCTTTAATATTTAACAAATATAAATTAGATGTCTGAATTTTCCTAAATAATATTATATCGACTTATTCATCTCTAAAATTTAAAAATAAAATTGAGACAATATTTCTTATTTCAATTACGGAAATTTAATGATGGGATGAATGATTAACCTGTACTACCCAACTCAAACCATGATTAACCTGTACTACCCAACTCAAACCATAAAAGCTGGTTGTGTTAGTTTTTTTTTTTTCGATTTAAGTTGGATTGGTCGGGCCACTCGACCCTCCACAAAAAGAAATAGAGTTTAGGGTCAGTCCGCTCGACCAATCTGGATTTAATATTGGGTCCAGTTAACATTTTTTTTGGTCGGATCCTAGCGAAGTTATTAATCTCGTATTAACACTCCTGCCCATCCGGCCCAAGTTATTTAACATTTCAATTTAATAAATTAAATTATAAATTGATGCAATGGTGGAGTAGTGATACTCAACCGGGAGAAACAGTGGATGTTGGTAAAGTTCTATTAATTCCTACAATCTTGATGAATTTAGCTCTAATTCTGTCAAAATTTTGATTCAGCAGTTCATGCAACTGCATTAGGATTTTGGGTGTACGAATCCGCCATAGATGTTCTTACCAAGAATCAGTTCCCAGTTCCATTGCGACCTTCGTCTTCTTCTTCCCTCGTCCAGACTCTTCTACTGCAACTCCATCGTTTCCCAGCATTTCTTCTACCGAATTCCATCTTCACTGAATTGCTCGTCTGAGACTCATCGCTGCGATTTGAAGCTCGGGGCTGAAAATTTCATACCGAGGGCAATTTCTTCGCGAGCAGAATCATCGGCGCCAGAAATGGTTAAGGCCATAAGGGTTCATGAAGTTGGTGGGCCTGAGGTTTGGTCCCCCTTTCTCATCGTCTTTTCTCCGCTCTTGATTCAGTGTTTGATTCTTTTCCTTCGCCTGGGCATGGATTTATGTGAATTTTGTCATTGAAAATGATTGTAACAGGTTCTTAAATGGGAGGATGTGGATATTGGAGAGCCAAAGGAGGGTGAAGTTCGAGTTAGAAATAAGGCGATTGGTCTTAATTTTATTGATGTATACTTCAGGAAAGGAGATTACAAGGCTGCTACCATGCCCTTTACTCCAGGTTCTGTTCTCTTCTTTAAACTCATTGTAAGGTCATGGATTCTGTATAAGGTTTCTTTAGTGGCATCTTATCCTTCTTCCATGTTTAGGTGATTTATTCCTGCCTGTGAAGTTTGAAGGCTTTGGATTACATGTTGAGATATTGTTCTCTTCTAGTTTGATGCAGCCATTAATTCTGCTTTTTTCTAATGATTACAAGTTCTAGCGGGTGAGATGAATAGAGTTTTATATGAAGTTGGTTAAACTGAGTGCTATGGACTAATGATGTCTTGACATTGAGGTTTTCCATATGGCTTACAATAGGTGTGGACTTTGCAATTTCATATGGTGAGATTCTACGTCGGTTGGAGACTGGAATGAAACATTCCTTTATAAGGGTGTGGAAACCTCTCCCTAGTAGACGCGTTTTGAAACCGTGAGGCTGATAGCTATACGTAACGGGCCAAAGCAGACAATATCTGCTAGCGGTGGGATTGGGCTGTTACAAAATGGTATCAAAATCAAATACCGGGCGGTGTGCCAATGAGGACGTTGGCCCCCCAAAGGGAGTGGATTGTGATATACCACATTGGTTGGAGAGGGGAAGGAAGCATTCTTTATAAGGGTGTGGAAACCTCTCCCTAGTAGACACGTTTTAAAACTGTGAGGCTGACGGCGATACATAACGGGCCAAAGCGAATAACATCTGCTAACGGTGGACTTGGGTTTTTACACGTTGAAACTTGTTTAATTCCTCCCTGCGTGCAATTTAAGGAAGAAGTTAGAGTCCTTGGGGACTCAAAATTGAATTTCAAGGCTGAAATTTAAAATTTTTGTATTATGAGAGAGACTACTTCGTTTCATCTTTTTAAATTTATAGTGTATTTACAAAAGTTACTTGGCCAATACTCAATTAAAATGCAGGAGAACTGACCTTTATTTTACATGCCACATAATTGGAAAATAATTTACTATGCAGGCATGGAAGCTGCTGGGGTGGTGATCGCTGTCGGCCCTGGAGTAAATGACAGGAAAGTTGGGGATCTTGTTGCTTATGCTGGGAACCCAATGGGCTCATATTCTGAAGAACAAATACTTCCTGCTGATAAAGTTGTTCCAGTTCCTCCCTCAGTTGATCCCATAATTGCTGCATCTGTCATGCTGAAGGGTATGACAGCCCAATTTCTATTACGTCGATGTTATAAGGTTAGTTTTGTTTTATAGTATTTATTCGCAAATCTTAGATTTAAGGTACATCTAGATCGTTTATGTAACCGCCTAAGTCCACCGCTAGCAAGTCCTCTTTGAGCTTTCCCTTCTGGGCTTCCCCTCAAGGTTTTAAAACGCGTCTAAAAAAACCTTAAGGGGAAACCCGAAAGGAAAAACCCAAAGAGGACGTATCTGCTAGCGTTGGGCTTAGGATGTTACAATTTACACGTCCCAAAGACGTCTTTGAGAATAATGTTACATGATGTAATTTCTTCATTCCATTGCATCAATTTACTAAACTTTGAATATTGGGAAATGTGTGACTTTCTAACTTGGCATTCCCCACACATGTTGTACCAGCATTGCCAACATTTTTATGACCAGCGAGATTTCGTCTGATATTCTCTACAGGTTGAACCGGGAAATATTGTCCTCGTTCATGCAGCAGCCGGTGGAGTTGGATCCCTGTTGTGCCAATGGGCTAACAGTCTTGGTGCCACTGTCATTGGTACTATCTCAACCAAAGAGAAGGCAATTCAAGCCAAGGAGGATGGATGCCATCATGTTATTATCTCTAAGGAAGAGGACTTTGTTGCTCGTGTTAATGAGATAACTTCCGGAAATGGCGTTAATGTTGTTTATGACTCTGTAGGAAAGGATACCTTTCAGGTAATAATTCTACTTTTCACCTTGTTTTTAAGTATTCTTGCAGAAACTCTAAGTTGTTGTGACTTGCAAGGAATTGTCTTTGCTAACTCCTGAACAATTCAGCAATTCTTAGATACTGATTCTTTATAGCTTCCCACCTCTTATTCAAATAAACCTTCTCAGCTATAGTTTTGGCCACGGATTGGGAGCATTAGGTTTCTTCCTTTACTGAAGTTTCACCAATATGCTTATTATGATCTAAAATTTCCTGCAGTACTAATTTCAAGAACATGCTCCCAATCTAGTTCACTTGGAGAAAGTTTCTTATGCTAAATGATCTAACTAGATGATGTTATGCATGAGTTAGTTAAGGAGTATGTAAACCACTTGTGTGTGGGTGCACGATATCACAATCGCGCTCTTATGGGATGTTTGTAAGCGATTGTGCGGCATTCACTCTCACTATTGAGTGAACCAACTCGAAATCTTGTTGCCTTTGGCTTGACGACATGTACCCAAGCTTTTGGTCCCATTTTGAGAAAAAGGTTTTAGAAAACGGGTGCAAAGAAAGATTTTTGAAAAAGAGTTTGAAAGCAAGATTTGAAAGAATTGAAGAAAGTAACATTATATGACTATAAGCAAAGAAAGAAACACCACGGCTTAAATAGTATGACTCAGGGTAGGAAGAATTGCCGACTAGTCACATCTCTCTTTAGTACATTCTGAGTCATTTTAGGTCTACCAGGCGTAGACATGATTCTGCCGAAACATCATACACTTAGAAAATACAATAAGGAAACTATAAATCATGAAAGCAGTGAAGGAAAGCAATAAGGTGATACAAGACAAGGGTTTTGGCATGCAACGGGCATGCGGCCATGGGCAACACACCTTAGACAAGCATGACTGTGACACACGGGATATGTAGTGGAAGGGCAGTGAAGTTTGAAAACGGCCCGAATTGTCTCGACTTTTATGCCATTGGCTTTGACTGTGTTCTTCTTGTCCCACCCTTCTGTATTTCTGTCTCAGCTTTAGATAGTGTGGTGAAATGTGGAAGGATATACTGAATAAAATTCTATTCGATCATAAGTTAAAATCTTAACTGACTCGTGTGCAATATAGAATAGCCGACATGAACGATCTGAATTTGAGTTGCAGGTATCCTACTTGAACAGCTGATTTTAGTTGTATCATAGTAACTGGACTGTTTCTTGGAAGAGATGACCTCATTCATGAACTCTTCGTTTTGTTTCATAAACAGGGATCATTGGCATGTCTGAAAACTCGTGGCTACATGGTGAGTTTTGGACAATCATCAGGACCAGCAGACCCAGTTCCACTCTCAGCTCTTGCAGCAAAATCTCTGTTCTTAACAAGGCCTTCCCTCATGCAATATACCGCGACCCGGGACGAGCTACTGGAGGCTGCTCAAGAGGTATTTGCAAACATAGAATCTGGCACTTTACGGGTTCGTGTTAATCATACATACCCTTTATTTGAAGCTGCACGGGCACACGCTGACCTCGAGAGCCGAAAAACAACTGGGTCAGTCGTGCTGATACCTTAAAATACTGTCCTTTGAAAATAAGACTCGTGTTGGTTTATGGTGTTGATATGGAGAACCATTTCTGTTTGAACTGCTTTTGTAATGACTTTCTGAGATGAACAGGCTATGGGACGTTTGCTTTCAATAAATTTTGTGGTAGCCATGGAGAATTTGTCCCCATTTTTAAAATAGCATTAAACATTTCAAATTACAAGAGAAATAAATAGAATTAAGAGAATTAAAAACAAAATAAAATCATTTCTTCTCTTTTTATTTGACATTAATTTCTCTATTAAATATTTCTTAAAATTTGAATTTAGTTTATATTTCGATTATAGATTTAAATTGACATAATTTTACAAATTAGAAAATATCCTTTAATTTTCAAAAACTTTGTTAGTAAATTTTTTTAAAATTTTTAAAAACACCTAGAAACTTTTTAAAAATTTATTATTTTTTAAATATACGATAAAAGTATTTTAAACTACTTTTTAATATTAAAAAAATATTTTAGAAACATGGATATAAGTTTAATATTATTTGCAAAATAAAGTACTAACTATAACTATTTTCTTCCCAACACAAAAATATTTTAAATTAATATTATTATTGAAAATTTTAAAAAATTATAAATATTTTGAGCGAAAATTGAGTTGAGCTTAGTGGTATTTTTGTTTTATTAATTTAGTTTTTTTTTTTTTTTAACTGTTTCTGTAGATGGGGGACCACGGACATGGAAGGCGGGAAGAAGGTCACGTGAGGTGCAACACGTCTGGTAATTTTTAATCATTACTTCTCCTCCTCAAAATTCCCTCGCTATTCTTCGCTTTCCATTGGGTTTCATTTCATTTCATGCAAAGCGAAACTGAAATTGATTTCGCTCCATTTCTTCTCTCCGCAAACCTCAAGCTTTCTCCTCTTGGTTACCGCCCAAACTCAGAAGGTTCCGTCTCTCTTCACTCATCTTTTTCTCCTGCTTATCTGTAATCTATATGGCGTCTTGAATTCATCTCCTGATCTCGATCTTCTTTTTGAATGTTTTTCATCTCCAATCGAGTTTGTTTGGTTCTTGTTTCGGATGTATTCATGGAACTCTTAATTACTTGATATTGCTGTTCTGATCTCTCTTATGCATCTAAGTATTGTTTCTTACTTTGCCTGATCTCTACGACGTTTCAAGAACTGGACATGGAATAATTGATGGCTACTTTTGTTATTTATTTATGTTGCTCGTCTTTAATTCTTTGAGATCGAGTTAGGTTTTTTTTTTTAATTAATCAGTCTGAGTCGAGTGTTTAGTGTTCATTTGCAGTCTTTGTTGTGCTCGAAACGAATCGATTTATCTAACATTCTATCATATTCGAGTTGCAAAAACAGATGAAATAGTGAAAGTTTCCGCAAGAAGATCAGATATCTTTTGACCTAATTTGCTGCTGTGTACTTGTTTTCACTTTTAGTTCTGCTTCTTTTTATTTTAATTTCCCTTTTAGATGTGTATTTCAACTATCAGAGCGTTCTGGTCAACTCAGTGCGTCTCTTTGGTTGCTATTTCATTAATTTATCAACTATAATAATATTTGAATCCACTCCGTCGCGTTGTTTGTTTCTGTATCGCTGCTATTTTCTTTTTGTCTCTGAATTTCAGGGTCTGAAATACATTGCTATTTTGGTGGTTGTAAGCTTTTTCTTTAGGTAGCCGCAATATTATACTCATTTCCATTAATAAACTAATAAAGCCTTTTGTATCGAACGAAGCCCAGCCACTAGGAATTTCTCTCTCCAAACCCTTGCGATTTCCTTTTTTTTTTTTTTAACAGTGAACTGCCAATTTCCATTTTCATTTGAGGAACAGCCTCGGAATTTTTGCCATGTGTATTTATTTAATTTGTATTGAATAAATTATCAAAATGCACAGGGTCTCCATAACGATCTTTCTTTTTTTCAGTTTTTGTTTGCTTCTTTTTTTCAGGTTCAGTATTTTCTTAAAAAAAAAATTCTTATTTCATTGATTGCACCGTTAACAAATCGTTATGTGGACAGTTTTTCAGGTGTTCAGAATTATGGAGGCAAGCTCGTGCGTACTTGATGATGCAGCTGAAGTTAGCACCATTTCTCTCTCTCTCTCTCTATAACATACACACACACACACTAACTGTAATATATTCCCAAATTACCCAACTTGCAGTCCCACGCGCTTTCACTTACGTCATGTTCACGGTCGTTTTTTTTTATTATAATGATAAAATTTAACTTTCTTTAAAATCCCCTTACACAAGATATATAAAAGAATAAATTTACTCTAATGGAATGGCGACGTGATTTATTTCGCTTACTTGAGTAAAACATATAGAACATGTACACCAAAATAATAATAATAATAATAAAGAAAAGAAGATTCAAATGGAACATTTCATACACAGAACAGAAAGAAAAAAAGAAAAAAAAAGATGGGACGCCTATCATTAATGCACATACTTTTATGTCCCCAAAAAGGACATTTACTTCTGAAAATTTGCTTTTTCTGCGTCGAGTACGTGCCGCAGCTAAAAAGCAAAATATAGTTAATAATGAGATTACGAAACCACATGCACGTAACGATCGATAATGCAAATATCTCTTTCAAAATATTTCTTTTTTGTATATATTTGCTGCAAGATCACACACGCGCACTCTGGGAGGGGGTTTGTTACTATGAAAAACCGTTTTAGCTATATAGTCTGGGCTATTGCATTGGGAGGAGGGTTTGTTTCCCGGTCATCGCAGTGAAGGGAGTTTTGTGGGTGGTAATAATATTGGATGTAGCTTGCATATTTTTGGTAGGAATGAAAAATGGGTAATTTAAACAGTGTTTTTGTTGAGCAGGATATGAAATTGACGGTGTACTTGAAGGAAAAGCAGAAACATAGCTCCGTAGACGGCGCACCAAACCCTGCTTCAGCCAGACATGCACTGCCACCATCTTCAGCAGTGGCTACACCGAGTTGTACCGCTGGTAATGACAGCAGCCTCCTCCTTTTGCATCCATATTTTCGTCTATCTTGTACCCATTTTGCCCTTTGCTTTGGCTTAGATTTATGTCTATATGGGACACTATAGTAACGTTCCAATAGGCGAGACTCATCCTCCGATTGGCTTTTGTGAATCAGAGGGTAGCCTGGAGCAAATCAAAGTGGGTTCTTTCTATGAAATAGACCACTCGAAGCTCTCATCTTCTACGCCAGAACAACTAAGGGCAATCCGGATAGTCATGGTATTTTACCAAATTCACACAAACCCATATTTATCGTCCATAAAATTTTTGGCATAAATTTCATGTCATTTTCTTTCTTTGCTCATTTTATTAATGCAGGTGAGTGACAAGGATGAAATCAATGTATCCTTGAGATACCCAAGTGTCTACTCGCTTCGCACACATTTCCGTAACTTCGAGAATCCAAATGGAAAAGAGCTTCCTGGATTAAACGAGAAGTATATAATGAGTTCAAACGTCGCTGGAGATGTACTCCACCGGAGAATACCAGCTACGGAAATTGCAGAAAGAAGGAATTCCTGGAGTTTCTGGACTGCACCGTCCGAGAACGCTGATAGAGATCAAAGCTCGACTTCCGGTGGTGAGGTCAACAATGCATCTTCTAAGAAGGGGATTTGCTGGTCAGAACTCAAGTTCACTGGGATGGTCCAGTGGGGTAGCCGGCGGCAAGTTCAATACATAGGTCGGCACGAAGATAAAAAGATTATAGCTTTGTCGAAATCGTTTGAACAAGAAGAAGCAAAAAATGATAGTTTAGGGGAAGGGGAAAAGAAAACAGATCAGGAGAATGGGGAAGAAATATTTAAGGTGGAAGACTCGGACGGGAAAGGGAACAGCCTCAAGAGGAAGCGCTATTGCTCTAGAAATATTCAGAAGAATCTCAAGAAATCAACTCCTGAAAAGAAAAATGGGTTAAAACTTCGTAATACTGGTAAGAAAAAAGAGCTGAAGAAATCCATTGATAGATGGTCCGTGGAAAGGTAAGAAACCATAATCACAATCGAATATTCAGTCATTAATTTTGATACTATAGTTGAAATTAATTTAACCGTCTCATAATGGGTTGCTTTAATCATTCAATCAACATTGAAGATATAAATTGGCGGAGGAGAACATGCTGAAGATTATGAGGGCCAAAGGAGCAGTCTTTGGGAACCCAATTCTAAGGCCAGCCTTGAGAGCTGAAGCTCGAAAGCTGATTGGTGATACGGGTTTGCTGGACCATCTACTGAAGCACATGGCCGGAAAGGTGGCACCTGGTGGAGTTGACAGATTCCGTCGCCGACATAATGCCGATGGTGCAATGGAATATTGGCTGGAGAGTGCTGATTTGATAAATATCAGAAAGGAGGTTGGAGTGCAGGATCCATATTGGACACCGCCACCTGGATGGAAGCTGGGTGATAACCCTACTCAGGATCCCATTTGTTCCAGGGAGATCAAGGAGCTCCACGAGGAGATTGCCGAAATTAAGAAGTAAGTTATTTTATTTTATTTTATTTTTATAAATGGTTTTCCATATATGTGGATGGTAATTTTTTGCTTTGAGATCGTGATATATTTCCCCAAGTTCTTACCGGAGTAGCTGTCCGAGGAAAAATTGTTAACTGTGGCATTTGGGTGCCGCTAGTAATCACTGTATGCATATTCAAAATACAAATTTTAATTTATCCTTGTCGAAACTTTACCCTTTATTCATCATCAATTTCTATCTGTTTGATTCTCCCGGAATCTTGGCCTTGTATCTTTATTTCACTGTTTCATCGGGTAAAATGTACAGATATATCCTAGAACTGGCATCTGCAAAGCAACAAGATTTAAATATCGAGACGCAACCGAATTCCGATGTTACTCCTACGAGTCTGGACCATGAAGAACATTCCTTGACTGCATTAAAGGTGAGGATTTTGAATCAGATTAATTAGTTCGTCGAAAGCCCAATTATGCTTACTAGTTTCACTTCTCGATGGCAGGAAATCTACAACGAATTGTTGAAGAGAAAAGCCAAAATCGAGGAGCAGCTAATACAAATTTCAGAATCACTGCATGGAATGGAGGTAACCAGACACGAAACCTATATGTTTTTATTTTTATTGGCCGTAGTCTATGATAGGGAACGTAGAATGGAATTTCTAGATTTTTTTTAGTGAATCTGCTTGAGCCACACGTTGCCAGAAATCATGTGGTAAATTATGTCCTATAAGAAAACGGGGGAAAATCTTAGTTTCCCCCCTTAATACATCATTACATTGGGCACAAGTTCACACTACTTTAACACACCCCCGCGGAGAAATACAAACTAATTGTATGGCTCCTTTCATACACCTTTATTTTTAGAAAGCACAAAATAACTTGCCTGCGGAGGGAAATTATAGTGTAGCTAAAAGTTCCACGTGTCAGGGATTGGACTGCACAATGATTTGGTAAATATTGAATGGTTTATTTTTTTTTTTTTGAAATAGCTGAGGAATGATTCATTGCAATCATAGTAATAAATCTTTTTAGTGCAATGAGAGATCAAACTTTTAACACACGTACAAAAAATAACTTTATCCAATGTTTTGTTTTATGCTTAGGATAGATACTATACATTCATTTCTTTAAATATTATTCCTTAATATGTTTCACAACTTAAAATAGACCTGTGCAGAAAATTTACAACTTATAAATAAATATAGTTAGCTTTTAGCCATAATTAAAAAAAAAAACATTGTTAAAAAAATAAAGAAAAAGAAATGTTTTAATTTTCTTAGCTTCCTTCATCTACACAGTGGGGGAAAAAGTTAAATTTGGAAATTAATGGAACCCCTATTCGATATTTACACAATCATCCTAGTCCCTTACAGATCATATAGATCATAATTTAGGGATCTATATTTTATTCGCTGTTGAGAATGTTGGTAATGCGACGAACAATTGCATTGATGACAAATGTTTAACGCAGGAGACGACAAGGATTCTAAGAACAAAAATCCTGGAGGACCAAAACATAAAGAGGTCAGAAATAGAACCGGCATCCCCATTATTAAGGCCATCATCACCCGGGCCACCGACAAAGTCAGACAGTACTAAAAGAGAGATAAAGCAGGAAGAGAGAGGAAGAAGAAAACAAGTGCAGGAGGGGGTGGAAGAAGAGGGTAATATGGTGGGATACATGGTCGCAAAAACAGAGGACAAGGCAGCAAAGATCCGAAGGCTAAAGAGTGGGTTCAGGATTTGCAAACCACAGGGTACGTTTCTATGGCCAAACATGGCAATGTCCCCTCACTCTGTAATGCAGCAGGTGCAGGATGATCCCGTTGTGGTCCCAACGCCACCTTCAGCTTCCTCAACCACGGCCGCACCACGCCTCTCACTTTCACCCTCACCCTCAACTGGGCCCCACCCCACATCCCCTGTAAAGCCGTTGGCCAGGCGTCCAGTCGGCACCACCACGATCTCAAATCTCACAAGAAGGCCTAATCTCATCAACCTTAATGAGGTTCCTCCTCACACCCAACTTTGCGACCTTGCACTCTGTGGGACACTGACCTACCAAAGAAGGAACCCCAACGCCACTGCTTGCCATGATTTGCCAAATGTATGTATCCATCTCTCAATAATTCTTTTGCCATTGAATTCTTTAAGAAAATTTTGAAGTGAACACAAATCAACTCTCTGTGTATGCAGTTGGTATGTGGAAAGCATGAGAATGACGGCGTAGAAGGGATGGAATGCTCGGGCTCAGTTTCCTCCTCCACTCCTTCGTGGTTGTTGATGAGAGATAAGTGGCTGTTGGATCTTGCAACTTCTAAATCATCTCTGGATCCATTTTCTGAAAGCGAGTGACTTGAAGAAAATCACCTTGGTTTGGTTAGTTTTAATCACTGGGTTTGGTTTGGGGCTTAAAATATATATATAGTTTTATTTTTATATCAGGCTAACTTGGTTTGGTCAGTATCTTAAGAGGGGTGGGTGGTCACTTGTGCTTTTTTGTTGGTTGGGGGCGGGGATCACGATGCTATACCGTATTACTACAACTACAGTGTTGCAGAACCTAAATTGAGAAGCAGAGATTTTAAGGAATGGTGATTATGATGATGGCGTCTTATTCCAATGCTATTTTTTTAAGGTCTCTGACCAAAAAGAAAAAACCAAAAACTGCTTACTACCAAAACGATGACTCATGTCATAATAACACCGAAAGAATAGTAGAGAATGACTATCTACTTTATATTTGATTCTGTTCCATCGGACTTGAAATTTCTACTATTCCTACATTCCTTCATAGAGCATGCACTCTAACCATAAACCCATAAGCCATAATATCCCGAGGCACAATTTTAAAAAAAGTGACTTAAAAACACTTCTTGGAGCACTAGAAATTAACCCTCAATTACAGTTTAAATTTTGACTTTGTTACCAAATGAACTCTAATCACTTACAAATAAACAAGTTAAGGAAGAAACAAAAATAGAGTCCCACATGGTAACGATCCAATTAAAGATTTTGATTTCAATGGGGACTGCTATGATCATAGTAGGAGCGGTGAAGTAGACACAAGCATCAAGCCCATAGTAAACATATTATGAGCCCAAACAAGAAATTCAACAAAATGGGAATATGCTGGTGTCTCCCAAAAACTTACATGGTTGAAAATCCCTTAATATAAGAAAGAAAAACCACAAAGCAATTGGTATAATAGCTTCTCATGGAGTTGCAAGACGCAAGTGATGAAAAGATTTTCTACTCACTCAAATAAATAAGAATATATGTGTATGTATACACTAAAATGATTGCACTACTACAAACAACTACAAATGGATGCAAAATGTTAGGTTCTGTTCAACCAAAATTGATAAACCTATCCATTCTCTACAATGAAAATAATTTGTATTTCAGCAATTGTGGATTTATAACATGAAAAATCTTGAATAGCCCTACGAAGGAAGAAATACAGGATACATCCCAAATATTCATAAACAATCAAGGAAAATTCGACGGAAGAGCTAAAGAAATGAAGAACCTACAATCTTGCATGCCTGTTCGACCCATTGATAGCAATATCTTGAAACCTAATGCACTGCAAGAGTGCACTTGTCAGCTTCTTCACGTCTTCTGTCGTATGCGTTGCACTCAAGGTCACCCGAAGCCTGAGATGGACGATGAAAGCAAAACATTAATTTATTTACCAAGTAAAGTTTTTTGTATTTCGTTGTAGCACCCAAATAAAATAAAAATAAAAATAGAGAAAATCGGTTGGTCAAAGTCAACAGAGGGACAAATGGTCCATTGTGGGGTCTTGACCTTGACAAAATACCTGCAAATGAAAGGCAAAGTGAGAGGAGAAAGGAGCTGCCGGAAAACTCACCGAAAACTACCGTTGGGAGTTCATTCCGGCCAAGACCGTGACGCAAAGAGTCTTTCTTGGAAGGGAGAAGAGGATTTCCATTATCCGTCAATAATCGAGAAGTTTGGCAAGGTATGTTCTTGAGTAATCCTAAGCGGTTTTTCTTCATGTCCAAGCCATTTCTTAAGAATTAAGGCCTAAGATTTTGATATGTTCTATAGGAAGGACTCTCCACAGATTTCGTGAAGCAACTTGGCCAAAATCTTAACTGGAAACTGCTGTTCCGAGAGCCCTACCAAGAATGGTAAGAAAGAATAACGTACCTACTATTGACGTCCATAAATTGGTCCGTGTTGGAGTAAAAATTCAAGAAAAAATATCCAGACGAGTCGGGATTAGGATCTACAACTTTTCTGAAGAAACTGACTTGATTCAAGAAAACTAATAAAAAAGTTTCAGTTTTCGTCTGCTAGGAGGAGAGAGAAAAATCTGGTGTGCCACATGTCAAACGGCGAGAGGAGAGACACGGCTTGGACACGAGAGGGACACATGTCGATAGCAAAGTGGAGCAATGTGGTTCCACCCCATCAGTGACATGCAGCCTGAGTGACACGCAGTCCAACCTAAGTCACTTAATCTAAACTGACTCAGAACCCGGTCCAGTGACCTACGAGTAGGCCTTTCCTGGGCACGTGGGAGCGTGTGCAGCCCACGTGTAAAACCTAATTGAAGAAAATCACTATTTTTGACACCCTAATTGTGTAGAACGCTAAACGAAAGGGCACACGTCAATCAAGTAAGTCACCACACGGTATTTAGGAAGAATACTTGCCAGATTCACTTGGAATACATGCATGCTAATATACTTACCCTAGGTGTTAACCTTTCCATGTAATATGAGTATGAATGCATAATATGAAGCGTTATGAGAATGCAATCATGGTTTATGCTACCGCTAATTATATGTGTTTAATTCATGCTGAAAGGAGGATGGAAATTTGTGAATTCTGTGCTTCAGGTGCTTGATGGACGTTATTGCCCGTTGAATATGTATATTTATTTTGCAAGAATTATGTACGATGACTCTAGATAGTTAATGAGTGCACACCCCGTTATTGTTATTGAGCCAGATTATGTTAAGACTAGGGAATTATGGTTGGGGGTACCCCGTTACTAAATTTAGACCTAACCTTTCCCCTAGGAGCCTAACAGACCACCACGATTTACGACCACCTTATGAGTTGTCCTTAAGTTCCAAGATGTGTGAACGGTGTCAATAGCTTTGTGGGGGAACAAGGATTTCTGATCAAACCCGACTGAACCTAGCCGTTTCACATGGGGAACATGAGACTCATGTCATTACAGCCCAACAACTGCATGAGATAAGGGAGGGGTCGCGCCCCCCTACAAGGGTGACTTTGTGGACCTGGAAGGTTTCAGTTCACCCCCTAGGTAAGATACCATACTGTCTTAGAGAGCCATGCATGAGGTAGCGCCTCGTAGAGGAATACCAGTCATTCACAGCTCGACACAAGGAACTTTCAAGATTTAAAAAAGAAAGACAGACCAGAATAACCCCAAGGGGATCAAACCAAAACCAAACATCCTAATGCCAACAAGTAGCTAGTGGGAATCTGTTACACCAAGTATGCGACGAGAGCCTACAAGTAGGTGGCTTACTGAGTATAATACGCTGCCGGTCGAGGTGGAGGAGTGTTCGAGAGCTGTGCGGTCACAAAGGAAGTCGTTCCAGAGCGTCGGTTTATTTTTAGATTTTGGAGTCTCTTGTATTTTCTTTTATGTTTGTATTCCCTTTGTAATATTCTTTTATTTTAATTTTATTGGATTTTTATCTTTTATTCTACTTTTCTTTTATTTTTATTTATTTTCGATTTCGTCTTTTTAATCACAGTCCGATTTTCGAAGTCTAGAAAATCAAGTGATTGAACTTCATATCCCAAACCTTGACTAGTCCAAATGAGAAGCTCATAACTAGTCGAAGTTGATATAAGTTTTCTTTTCTAGAAGGGGCCCTGGACCCAATTCCTTATACTCGTGGTCTACCACTTAGGCTTACAATACAACATTTTCTATAATGGTGAAAACTTAGACGTTCATACTCCACAAAGAAAGCAACTCCATTTTGAAATAAGAAAACATTTAAATACATAAAATATTCAGAGATCATTGTGTACCAAGGAACGAAGATGTACCAGACCAAGTCCACCACTAGCAAATATTGTCCGTTGGCCCGTTACGTATCACCATCAGCCTCATAGTTTTAAGACGCGTCTGCTAGGGAGAGGTTTCCACACCCTTATAAGAAATGTTTTGTTTCCTCACCAACCAACGTAGAATCTCACAATCCACTCCCTTGGGGGCCAACGTCCTCCTAGCACACTGTTCGGTGTCTAGGTCTGATACCATTTGTAACAGTCTAAGTCCACCGCTAGCAAATATTGTTAGCTTTAGCCTGTTACGGATCGTCGTCAGTCTCACAGTTCTAAGACATGTCTACTAGGGAGAGGTTTCCACACCCTTATAAGAAATATTTCGTTTTCCTCTCTAACCAATGTGGGATCTCGCAATCCACCCCCCTTGGGGGCCAGCGTCCTCGGTGGCACACTATCCAGTGTCTGACTCTGATACAATTTATAACAGCACAAGTTCACCACTAGCAAATATTATCCGTTTTGACCCATTACGTATCGTCGTCAGCCTCGCAGTTTTAAGACACATCTGCTAGGGAGAGGTTTCCACATCCTTATAAGAAATGTTTTGTGTTCCTCTCCAACCAACAAAAGATGTATATATACTGAAGTTTTAGATAATAGAGTGGAAACTGCAGGAAGTAGCGATCCACTAAGAAATGAATGATCACATATACTGAAGTTTAACGATCACATGCTGAAGTTTAACGAGGTAATGCACCGTGCTAGCCAGATGAAGAATGTCAAGTAAAGAACAATCTCAAGAATTAATATTGTATAAGATTCAAAAGAAAATGATGCACCTGCAAGAGTTGGCTGGAACTGTAGGAGGCCTTATTGCAGTCACATGAAAACCGGATTTCAGCAAATGCCTGTTCCTCAATAGTAAAAAAACAACAATAAAAACAATGATGCATACCGTTGGAACAATAACTTAATAGAATAGAAAGGGTAACAAAGCACCTGCTGGCTTCCAATGCCTTCCCTTCGCTACCTACAATAAGAGAGATTATGGGGCTTTGGATAGGGATTCCAGTCAAATCACGAAAATCTTGCACCCGATTCCAAATTTCCCTTCTTCGCCACATTTCCCTCTTAGCCACCAAGACTGCAGCTGCTAAGATATGCTCTAATTAAGAACATGGAATTTCAAGATTGGATAAATGATGAGATTAAGCAATAACAAATCTACTCTACCATGGCCAGCAGCAATAAGAGGGATGGGTGCAGCAGTTGAAAATATAAAGGATCGGCCCCTTGATTGAATGAGCAATTTCCACCTTTTGCTGCTCGTGTCGAAGGAAGAAAATCTTAAAGCGAATTAAAACTAATTATCCAAAATTATGGAAAAAGAAGCATAGAATCTGTTGCCTGTTCTGGACATGGGGGAACAAAGCACAATCACATAAACAGGTTGATGGAAAGCAGGCTAAGCGGAATCATTATTTTCTTCAATTAAACAAAAACATAGCAAATCTTTTTTTTTTTTTTTAATGAGAAACCAAGCTTTCGTTAAGAAGAAATGAAAGAATACAAAACAAAAGGCACTTGGGAATGACAAAAAAGCAGCCCAAACCAAAGGAACGAACCAACAAAATACACAAATGAGGACTCCAGTCTGCAAGAATAAAACCTTATGGGTAATACAAAAATTGGAGACGGACTCTAATGGCCCAAACCCACCACTAGCAGATCTCTTTGGGTTTTCCTTTTCGGGCTTCCCATCAAGGTTTTCAAAACACGTCTACTAGGGAGAGGTTTCCACACCCTTATAAAGAATGTTTTGTTCTCCTCCCCAACCGATGTGGGATCTCACAATCCACCTCCTTCGGGGCCTAGCGTCCTCGCTAGTACTTGTTCCCTTCTCCAATTGATGTGGGACCCCCAATCCACCTCCCTTTGGGGCCTAACGTCCTTGGTTGCACATCGCCTCGTGTTCACCCTCCTTTGGGGATCAGCCTCCTCACTGGCACATCGCCCGGTGTCTGGCTCTGATACCATTTGTAACGGCCCAAGCCCACCACTAGCAGATATTGTCCTCTTTGGACTTTTCCTTTCGGGCTTCCCATCAAGGCTTTTAAAACGCTTCTACTAGAGAGAGGTTTTCACACCTTTATAAAGAATGTTTTGTTCTCCGAGATCTCACAATCCACCCCCTTCGGGGTCCCAGCGAGGTCTACAAGGGAGAGGTTTCTACACTCTTATAAAGAATGTTTCGTTCTCCTCCCCAACTGATGTAGGATCTCACACTGACTCCCCTAGAGACATTAAACCTAGCTAACAACCAGACCTTCTCCCAAGCTCTCTCCAAGTCCCTAAAATTTCTACTATTCCTTCCAAGCTAAAGATCCCAAATGACAACAACGAAACAGCATGCCACAGAACCCAACTCTTATCAAAACAAAGTAAATCTAGATCGTACTTTTATAGAGCAAATAAATATTATGTCATGGACTCTTTGGGTCATTTTGATAGCCAATGAGTAGATTGTTACCGTCAATCATTGCTCCTGAAGTTAAATTCTTGGCATTAAGTGAGCCAAATTTAATTTAACGAATGAGAACAATGCATACCAACAATTACCTGCACGCGATGAACCCACCAAAACACCCTGCTGCTTTGCTCAAGGTGCCAACACATATGTCAACATCTCTTTCACAATTGAACATCTCGGCTACACCCCCACCATTTTTGCCACAAACAAATGTTCCATGAGCCTGACGTTTGCAAGAACAATAGTTCTCAGGTATACACTTCTTACATACATTAAGTTTTAGGCTCGAGCAATGCATTACAGCTGATATGAAGCTCAAACCGACAAACTAGACCAAACACAGAAGATATGAAAGCCAAAGATGGAATACACCTTATGTAAAAATGGAACTGATAGCAACAAACAATTGCCAAAAGCATATCATAATATCTTATAACAGCTTCAAACGATTCTACATCAACCAATGAGTTCAAAAAACTTACATCATCAATAACTAACAAAAATCCATGCTTCTTGCGAAGCTTTGCAAGTTCCCTCATGGGCGCAAAGTCTCCATCCATGCTAAATAAGCTGTATTATGAATAGGATACATGCCAAACCAATTTCACACTTGCAGTTAGGATAAAGGAAAAAAGTTTGGGCCTAATAAATTCATTAATTAGTAGAAAAATAAGGGAAGATGTTGTAGGAGAACAACATAATAAATCTACTTCCAATGAATTTATTATCTGATGCTATCTTAAAGGTTCTGTTTTTGATGTGGGAAGAACCTACAGGGAAAGCGAGAAAGAAATGGGAGTTCTGTCAATGCATCTAATTGGTGCCCTCTAGAGAAATTGTCTCGTACTTTCTAATATTCCTTATGTAATTAACTCGAATTGGAGTACATTCGGTGTAAGCCCTACGGATATTAAAGCATCATGTTCTCTATATCAAAGAATAGTTCTCTGTTTAACTATTTTAGAAGAAAACATGCACATATATTACAAATCATTGAAGTACAAATACCGGAGCAGCTAAATTTTGTTGGTGGCCGCTATATAGTCAAGAAAATACAATGAAAGAAAAGTTAGAATTGAGAAATCTACTTGTAACACAACACCAACCTATCAGTTACGACAACTTTCTTTGTAAGTGTGCAACTTGATCTGCCCAAAAGAAAACAGAAATTTGTCTTCAAAAGCAGGAATAAAGCATCTGAGCAGATCCAAATAACATATGAACAAGAGAGCTAGAGAAAGGTAAAAAGAAAGCATACAATAAAGCATTGAGATGAGCCATATCACAATGCCTATAGATGAACAGTTCCACATTTCTTTGTCGATCCGCAAGACGAACGCCATCAATAATAGATGCATGATTCAGTGAATCAGAAAATATGGCAATCTTCTGATCTTCAGATGAAGCTTTTCTTTCAGTTAAGAGCGAGCCAATATTTCCTATTGCTACCATCAATGCCATGTTGGCTGCAAATCCAGTAGGACAAAGAAGGCAATCCTAGAAACACTAAAAATTATTTCACAGCTGAGTGTACATCTAGAATATTATGACCAACAGAAAGGTTAAGCCTTCAAAAAGCAGAAACAGGTTCCCATAGCAGGGGCCCACAGATTTCCCACAGTCCATGATATATGCAAATTACAAACACAATATTGAGCCGAGATGCGAATTGCTTGCTTCAATCACATACATATATTCATGTAATACTTTAATTACGATCTTGGCTTGATTCTATTCGTTGTATCACAGTATTTCACATTACCCTCTTATAAATACCGCACCATATCATAAATTCTACTAATTAAATTGTGACTTGCTTAATTAAGCAACAATTGACATCTCAAACTTTTGACAACTATGAGACCTTTCAAATTAGAATCATGTCTTGTGTTCTGTAAACACTGAAATGAATTATCATTTATCAGTAATTGGCCAAGCATTTATCCGTGTTCAAAAGGTGACACATTCCATGATAGTAATTCTGATTAAAGTATACATACAATACATTCAATACATACCTCTTTCTTCTTTAATTTGGCCAAGCATGATTCTAGCAGCCTATGATGGAAGGTATATCCACAGATTAGAGCAGAACCCCTGGGGCCCATTCTATATTCTAGAGCAGCCTGGTTTAGAATTGAGTTTCAGACACTACAGAACGAATAAAGAAATACAAGTACCATGGCGACAGAACATTTTTTGAAGAGTCATTTATCTTTAAACACACCTTTGCTGCAGCTCTTCCTATTGTCGGATGGGAACTTAATCCCAGATAATCATTTCCAGAAAATAGAATTAACTTTTTGAATTGATGAGGATGTTCCCCTAGACTTTTTATGGCGCCACCTTTGGTTATAATTTCATCTCCTATAAGAAAAAAGCAAATTGATAATAAATACAGGAAAGATTAATTATCTGAAACATATAGTTCTTTCCAATCAAGTGCATTGAAAGAATCAAGTAAAGGTCCAGTTACACTGAAAAGCCCAATGCCTATATTGGATATTTCGAACACTTTTTTTAAAAAAATAGAAAATAGTTTCATTGAGGATATGGAATTTTACCCCTTTTATTTAATTTATTTTACTCATGAAAAAGTAATTTTGACAAGAGTGAAAGTGCATGGAATGTTAGAACTACTATAAGTAATTGTCAATGTTTGGGAGTGATTTTGAAGTTATTAAAATCACTTTTGTTATTTTCAAAATCACTCCGAAACATGCTTTTAATGATTTCAAAAGCACTTTTGGTCGTATGAAAATCATTTTTAAGAGTGTAAAGTCAAACACTAAATTGACTTTGAATGATTAAAGACTTACTTTAGAGACATTTTGAACCCAACCAAAATGAATTTGACCATTTCAAAACTACTCCAAAACATGCCCCAAATACAACGAAGTAGAAACACTAGAAGTCAACAACAATAATCAACGATAAATTATTAAAAAATGAGTAAATGAGGGGGTTAGAAGAGTTTGTTAATGATTGAGGCACATGATTAAATATTGTTCTTAAAGACGATGTGCCTTTCCGAGAAATCATCACTCTTCTCTCAAGAAAGAACCCTCAACAGTCCTTGTATTTAGCTATGTTCGATAATTTTTATTATTTTTAAATTTTTTTGGAGGAAGACAAAAAGGAGGAAAAGATCTTTTGTTTTTCATTAAAGTTGCTATTGTGTTCTTCATGTCATAAGATGGGGCTGACTTTTTTCTTATAATATAAAAAGAAACTGGTCAAGTTCGTAGCACACCAACTACACAACTACGTCCTTTATAAAAATAAAGAAAAAATAGTTGCATTGACATTTTCCATTTATGCAAATATCAACTTTAAGTTTCTAAAACAGAATAATAAAACTTAATTTTCCAGCAGATACGACAAAAAAGTCAACCAACAAACAAATGCCTTGACTTGCTCATAACTAGCTATTATATAATACAATATGCATGGCTGAGGATTAAAAGGCGAGCAGATTTTGCCATTCAAGTCAGACAGTATGAGTAAAAGATTTTTTTTATATATTTTCTTGATTTCCTTTGGTCACATAGTCAGAACATTTCCACAAAAGCTAATTGCATCCAATGTAGGAGGACTCGAAGGCCTTGCAACAATTTCAATATAATCAGTTAGTACCGCAAAATGTCTACTTTCTACAAGCCAGAAATCACCATACTAACATTTTGATAACCATACTAACATCCATTTGTTCCAGTCAAAGATATTAAGGAAGGGTGACAGAGAGAGGATAGCCTCCATAAGAAGTAAGCGACATCCAGAAGGTGTTGCTTTCATAGAAAGCAAGAGGCTTAAGGTAGCTGATAGCAGTATAGAGGTAGGAAATTGGGAGAAATAACACTCTCTTTTCTGATTGATTGGATTATGGCCAATGTCAGATGGTTATCAAGATGTTTCAAGAAAGGATATCATGATGTCTTTTACTGAAAAGAATAGATAATAAAGAACAACTAAGACTACTTATCCTAGGCAAAAAGGATAAGGAAAACAAGGCTTGAAATTTGAAAATCTTAAATTTATAATCTTCCCATGTGAAAATCTTCACAGAATCACATCAAATATTTGATTAACTATCAAAACTTAGATATTTGTTTCAATTATAAAATGTTGTAACAGCCCATGCCCACCGCTAACAGATATTGTTCGTTTTGGGCTTCCCCTCAAGATTTTTAAAATGCGTCTACTATGAAGAGGTTTCCACACCCTTATAAAGAATACTTTGTTCCCCTCTTCAACCGATGTGGGATCTCACAATCCACCCTCCTTCGGGGCCCAGCGTTCTTGCTGGCACTTGTTCCCCTCTCCAATCGATGTGGGATCTCACAATCCACCCCCCTTCGGGGCCCAGCATCCTCGCTAGCACACCGTCCGGTGTCTGACTCTGATACCATTTGTAACATCCCTAACTTAAGGCAAGAAAATTAGTGCCGTTACAATTATCTACCAGCAAAATTGGATGAGAAAGTTTTCTTTTACTGAGAATAATTAGCAAGTAGAATTCTATTGTTTTATTAAGAACCAAAGCTTGTTGTTAAAAAAAGGCCATCTTTTATTTTTTTCTTGGATTTACACAAGAAAGCAAGAGTCTTATCTTCCCTTCTTTTCAGTAATTTTCATTTTTTACAGAAGTTGCTCTAATATAAGAACAGCAACAATATTTAAGGAGAGTGTTTCTGTAACAACCTAAGCCCACCCCTAGCAGATATTGTCCTCTTTAGGCTTCCCCTCAAGTTTTTAAAACACGTCTACTAGGGAGAGGTTTCCACATTCTTATAAAAAATGTTTTGTTCCCCTCTCCAGCCGATGTGGGATCTCACAATCTACCTCGAGGGCTTTCCCTTTCGAGCTTCCCCTCAAGGTTTTTAAAACGCGTCTACTAGGGAGAGGTTTCCACACCCTCATAAAGAATGTTTCGTTCCCCTCTCCAACCGATACGGTATCTCACAATCTACCTCGAGGGCTTTCCCTTTCGAGCTTCCCCTCAAGGTTTTTAAAACGCATCTACTAGGGAGAGGTTTCCACACTCTTATAAAGAATGTTTCGTTCCCCTCTCCAACTGATATGGGATCTCACAATCTACCCAAAGGACTTTCCCTTTTGAGCTTTCCCTCAAGGTTTTTAAAACGCATCTACTAGAGAGAGGTTTTCCCACCCTTATAAAAAATGTTTTGTTCCCCTCTCCAACCGATGTGGAATTTCACAATCTACCCCCCTTCGGGGCCCAGAGTCCTCGTTGGCACTCGTTCCCTTTCTCCAATTGATGTGGGATCCCCTAATCCACCCTCATTCGGAGCTCAGCCTCCTTGCTGGCACATTGCCTTGTGTCTGGCTTTGATACCATTTATGACATCACAAGTCCATCGCTAGAACTATTGTCCTTTGGGTTCTCTTTCGGGCTTCTCCTCAAGGTTTTTAAAACGCGTCTACTAGGGAGAGGTTTCCACACCCTTATAAAGAATGTTTCGTTCCTCCCTCCAACCGATTTGGGATCTCACAGTTTCCCCTACTGCTTCATTACAAAATTCTTGCTCTAAACATTTCTTTTACCACTCCCCTCTTTTTATAACAATGATATATTTTTTTGTTGAACAATACTACTCTTCTTATATACTCTGATTATAATTTCCTTTTTCCTTCCTTCTTTTTTCTGCCCGCATGGAATTAAACTTTGAGTGTGGATTATATCTAAGTCTCATTCGGTTACTAAGTCTAGTCTCTAAACTTTTAAAGTTGTGCTTAAAGGTCCCTTGCGTTTAATATTTAGTAATCTCTTCAACAGTTTTTAAGTTCACGGATCTATAAACACAAAATGGGATTAATTGTCTTGAATATGACTTTGACATTCCAATTGTTTTGCCTAATAAAGTAATGAATATAAAAAAAAGTTAGAATGATGGAATCATTTCGTGTGGATCGGGATAAGTTATAAATTGTCCAACTACCGTATTATTTTATTTAAGCTCCAATAATAATTCGGTATCATAATAGCAATTAAAATACTGTCGAATTATTGCATGAGAGTTGAAATGTTCGCATTTCTTTGAAGTATAAAAAACAAACAGAGACAATCACAGAGCAATTCACATACAAAGTATTTGTAGTCAGCGCTGACACAATATCCAAACATGAAAAATGGCACACTCAAGTAGAATGCATCCCATTCTCGCATCACAAAAGCAGGGAAGCATACCGGAACTGGGAATATCAAGAAGCCACTTCTGGACAGTGGATTCCGCAATTTCAACCTCCACAGAGGCCCTATCCCACGGCTGCATTTCGTCGAACACCTTGAATTCACCATCTTCTTTCGCTTCGATGGGAGCTTCGTCGTCAACGGGATTTAGTTTCTCGAGTGATGGCGTAATGGGTCTCAAAGATCTGAGCAATTGGAGAAACCCTAGCTGCGCTAGCGCCTGCTCGACATAGGCATCCCACATGCTCATCCCTGAGAAACTGAAAGTCCAACGCTCACCCAAAATAAAAAGCGCGGTAAGCAACTTCAATATATTAAACATATTTTCTTCAATATTTTAATAAAGATGTTCGAATTTAAGAGGAGATGATTCGATTGGACATCGAGATATTTCAGAAGGTCTCGTAGGCCTCAACAACTTCAGTCGAGAATAATTAGAATAAAATAAGGCTAATCTTCACATATCACTACGGTATCCGAGACCAGTATGGTACATATCAACTTCGAAGTCACATCATGAGAGACCATCTTCTTTTATTGTGAATAAAAACATTTTGTTCAATATTCTGTTGAAGGTGTTCGAATTCAAGAGAAGATAATTTGATTGGACATCAAGATATTCTAGATCCGCCCACCATTCTCAATAGCTCTAATTGAGTCATCGATGCCCATAATCTAAAGATACAAAATTCGTACAACATTTGAAGCATTCTCTACAACCTTTTCGAGGTTTTACTCTCGGGAGTAATTACGTCTTCATATGTTCGTTACAATGCTCGAGATCAATATGCTACATATCAACGTCGTAGCGAGGATATACACATTAAATAAGATCAATCATCAAATAGTCGCGATCGTAATGATAGTCAACAACATATGTGACTCGAAAAGGTGGGTTTATATAACATAATTTTCATTATAATTAATTAATAATTGATTTAACCATTTTATTAAAATAATCCCACAAAATTAATTTAAAATTAAACATTGAATTGCTTAAAAAATTATACACGAACGTGTCTTTTTTTTTTTTCAATTATTATTTTGGGGACAAATCTAATTTAACTATTATTATGTTGATATCTTTTTTTTTTTTTTTTTTTTTTTTTTTTTTTTTTTTTTTTTTTTTTTTTTTTNGCTTAAAAAATTATACACGAACGTGTCTTTTTTTTTTTTCAATTATTATTTTGGGGACAAATCTAATTTAACTATTATTATGTTGATATCTTTTTTTTTTTTTTTTTTTGATTTTCTACAATTCTTAGAACTGGTCACGGCACTAAAATTAGGATCTTCCAACGTTTCTTCTCTTTCGACATCCTTTGCCGCCGCCATTTCCTGCTCCCGTCGCTGTTCTGTCGCCACCGGCAGGTGCCTCTAGCTTTCTCTATCGTTCGTAGACCGAGTTTTCGGCGAAGATTGTAAGACTTTCGGAAGTCTATCAATCTCGCTTCAAAGAAATTGTTGCCTCCGAAGTTCGTGGATTCAATAGTATTACCGAAGGAAATAGTTGATGCGTTGGGGTTGTTTTATGTGCTAGTAATATTTGGATGCATTATTTAGGGACTGTTCTTGTGGCATTTCCTTTCAAAGGTTCAAACCTCAGTTCAAGCAGCTATGGAAATTTGGTGAGGGCTTCATATGTTGTTTATTTATTTGGGAGTGGCCCTTGTTCTCTTTGAAGTATCTGATGAGTTTTGATTAGTAATGCTTTGTTGTTTGAGTTTGTGGATATTTCTGATATGCTAGAATGCTGTATTATACAACTTGAATTTTGTTTGATATTTAATGGGTTTGTTAATGTTTTGATGTATTGGACTTTGTTTAGCTAACTCAATAGGATCCTTATGTCATAGCTGTGAATTCGACTTGGTTTAGGTTAAAATGCCTCGACCTTCAATTGTACTCTTGTAAAACAAAGGAATAGCATTTTGATGTATGTAATTTAAGCTATGATGAAAGAAAAATGGTGCTTGGTACTTTCCCCTTATTTTCTTCGCTTATCCGGTACTTATTTTGTAACAACCCAATCCTACCACTAGTAGATATTGTTCTATTTGGGCTTTCCCTTCTAGGCTTCCCCTCAAGGTTTTAAACGCGTCTATTACGTTTCCACATCCTTATAAAGTATTTTATGTAACAACCTGCTTTTTAGTTGGTATCAGAGCCAGACACCGAGCGATGTATCAGCGAAGAGGCTGAACCCAGAAGGGGGTGGACACGAGGCAATGTGCCAACAAGGATGTTGGGCCCTAAAGGGGGGTGGATTGAGAGGTCTCACATCGATTGAAGAAGGGAACGAGTGCCAACGAGGGTGGATTGTGAGATCCCACATCGATTAGGGATAAGAACGAAACATTCTTTATAAGGGTGTGGTAACCTCTCCATAGCAGACGCGTTTTAAAAACCTTGAGGAGAAGCCTGAAAGCTCAAAGAAAACAATATCTGCTAACAGTGAGCTTGGGCAGTTATATACTTGCTAGTTAGTTAGTTTAGAATAGCTACTTGTTTCCATGTCATGGCCTATTTGGTTTGGTTAAGTGTTTGATTCTACATGTGAATTCATCTTTATTGAGGCTCTAGATGTATGTGTTTCGGTGCCATTATCATAACTTAATTTTATTTTTTCCTCTATCTCATGTATTCTTGAAATTTATTTCTTTATTAGAATTAAGAAAGAGTTGCATCTTTATGTGGAATTTGAGTTCTTGGGGTGGACAGTCTAGTTTTGATGTGCTGATTGTATGGTCTAGTTTCTAAATTGAAGTCTTAGTTAAGTCGTTATATTCATAAGTTTGAGATTAGTGTATTGGGGTTGGTGAGGAGATAGTTTCATTTAGACACATGAGATTCATCATGAGGGGTGATTCTCATTTAGGTGGGTCTTTGTGTATGTGGTTGGTATATTTGATTGAGTCGAAGCCATCCATGTTTTAGTTTGTTTGTGGGGTTCGAGTAGCTTTGTATGGGTTTCTTGGAGCATTCTTGTAATGGTCCAAGCCCACCGCTAGCAGATATTGTACTCTTTTGAACTTTCCCTCGAAGTTTTTAAAATGCGTTTGTTAGGGTGAAGTTTCCACACCTTTATAAAGAATGTTTTGTTCTCCTCCCCAACCGATGTGGGATCTCACAATTCATGTACATAAGTTAAGCATTCTTAACAATTGAATGAGTTATGAGTTTCTGCGAGATGTTCACTTTGTTCTTAGTTCTTCGTCGGGATAACCTTTGCCAACGAGCCACCCGACAAGTTATTTTCATTGGGATAACCTTTTCCGACTCCCAACACTTAACCGAAATATTGGACTCGATATATTGACGTGATATTAAGTTTGATAACTTATCTAAAGTAAATAAGGAAAACAAATAAGTGAAAAGCATGAATAACCTTTTATTTATTGAAGTTTCTTACCGCACTTCGTTTTGGCTGGTTGTCAGATTTGAGGCAGCTGGGGATGAGCATGTGGGATGGTTATGTCGAGCAGGCTTTCTTAACTAGGGTTGCTCCAATTGCTCAGGTCGTTGAGACCCATTACTCCTACACTTGAGAAACTAAATCCCGTTGACGACGAAGCTACCATTGAAGCGAAAGAAGATGGTGAATTCAAGGTGTTCGATGAAATGCAGCCATGGGATAGGAATTCTGTGGAGGTTGAAATGGCAGAAACCACTGTCCAGAAGCGGCTTCTTGATATTCCCATTCCGGTAAGCGTCCTTGCTTTTATTATGTGGGAATGAATGCATTAGAACTTGAATGCCATTTTGCATATTTGATATTGTTGACATTGTCAGCGCAGTGAGAATCAATAGACTACAAATCCCTTTCTTGAGAGGACATTGAGCCAAAAAACCTTTCGCTATTGCTCTAGACATAGCATAATATTCAAATTTAGTGAAGGATTTCTTTTGATATTTTCTCCATTTCAATTTTGACCCAGTTCGTTCTCTAGAACTTCTGACCTCATCGAGACTCTACCTCTTTCTGAAAGTAGGAAAGGAGATGAGATAGAGAAAGCGTTTTTAACCTAACCCCACTTTATTGCATCTAATAATTTTTCGGATCTTGAATATAGTTCAATTGGATAATGCACGGATTACCCTCTCAATTGTTGATGATTTGATCTCATTCTATGATTGTTGAATCCAACAACCTGATTCATTTTCAAGACCTCATGCATTGGTGGTAAATTAACCGTGAATGGACTCAGGTTCGAGTTCTTACCTGCTCGAGACTGTACTTAATTTCCAACTGAAAGAGTTCGGGACTTCTTTGGGAGTCCTATTTATTCTGCCGGCCAGACAGTTCTAATTGTGGTAAATAAAATGCAGGCCATTACATGCATGGACGGCATTGACACAACTGATTCAATTACTTAAAAAGGTGATATTTATAACCTTTAATTGTAATGTACTTTGACATTTTCAATTGATTTTTAATTTAAATTGTTCATTTCTGTCTATACTATGATCTGTAGTGCATATATTTTAGGAAAGAACTTTTTTCTGATTATTTTTTTCATATATTTTCTAATGAAATCAATTATGTGAATTATAAACATTCTAAATTCTTATTTTTTCTTACTCTGGAAATGAAAGTCTTTGGGAATTTTTACCATATAATTTAATAAACCTTGGTTTATAAAGTCGAGGCTCGACTCTTAGAGTCAGTATATTTTGTGTTTGAATGTACAACAAAATAAGGTATAGATATACGAGTTTATATAATTTGAGTTTGGTTGATAGATTTATAATTTAGTTTAAAAAAGATGAACTTCATTAGTTTGTTATTAATATAACGTCTTGTCTAGAGGAATCTGGTTTCCAATGATTCTTAGAGCTAACAGTCATTTTCTCCCAAAGACGTTGAAGCTGCCGGCGATGATACCCATTTGGCTGAGTTTTCGCTTTCAACCAAGCCAAAAGGGTCCTCTAATTTGTTCTTAAGACCTCCTTTTCCACTAAAACCAGTCTCCATTACCATTGCTCATTGGAGATCCAAGGAACAAATTTCAGAAGCTTTTTTCAAGAAAAAAATGGGAACTCCCACCAATGGCAGTGGCAATGGCAGCAAATCCAGATGGATGATGGGTCTGCATTTAAAGGGTCGAAAAGAAAGCGACAATGAAGATCTTCATCTGTTCCGGGAGCTGCATAAGCGTGGCAAGGAACGCACTGCCTGCTTTCTTCTGCCCGTCCATGACCTTGAACACAGCAATGGTGGTAATATGCCTCATAAACTCATGATCTTCATTCCTCTTAATTAACCAATGTGGGACTACTCCTTTCAATAATTCTCAACACATGATCTCCACCATTCGGATCATTATGAGTTTTGTTAACTTTCTTCATAAGCTTTTATTTGATCTCGAGTTAAACTTTTGCAGGGAATTCTCAGTTCTACAGAATTCAATCAATCAGGAAAGAGTCTGAATTTGAACTCCTTTCTGAGGGCAACAAAAACGATTATGATTGGTAAAAATCTCATCTTCTTTGATTCAGAGTTTGTTTAATTGGTAACTCTTCTGAAGTTATCTTCATGAACACTGCTTATTGAAGGCTTAAAACACCACCTGCAACTCCTTTGTTCCCATCTTTGGAAATGGAAGCCACTGCTCCACATATGAAAGCTCAGAAAGAGACCAGATTTCTCCAGCTTCTCTCACAGCCACAGTCACAGGTGCGCTTCTCTGAAATTTTTTCATAATCCAAATAGATGTGAGAATTATAGTTGTCTACGGGGAAGGGATAGGGAACCGCCTCCTATTTCATATTTCTGCCCCAACCTCCCGACCCCTGTTTAGCTAAGGGGATAAATCTCTCTCGGTTAGAAACTACAAATCTCCACAATGGTATGATATTGTCCACTTTGAGCATAAACTCTCATGACTTTGCTTTTGGTTTCTCGAAAGGCCTCATGGAAATGTGTATTCATTACTTATAAATCCATGATCAACCCCTAATTAGACGATGTGAGACTTCTCTCCCAACAATCCTTCTCTCGAACAAAGTACACCATAGAGCCTCTCCTGAGGTTTATGGAGCCCTCGAACAGCCTCCTTTCAATCGAGACTCAACTCCTTTGGAGCCCTCGAACAAAGTACACCCTTTGTTCGACACTTTAGTCACTTTTGTCTACATCTTCGAGGCTCACCACTTCTTTATTTTACATTGGAAGATTCTATTGACATGGCTAAGTTAAGGGCATGACTCTGATACCATGTTAAGAATCACAAATTTCCACAATGGTATGATATTATCCACTTTGAGCATAAACTCTCATGGCTTTGCTTTTGGTTTCCTGAAAAAGCCTCATACCAATGGAGAGGTATATTCATTACTTATAAATCTATAATCAATTCCTTAATTAGCCGATGTGAGACTGCTCTCCCAACAATCCTCAACATCTCCGTCCCGTCCAGGGTGGAACTGAAATGGACATCTCGAGAGAGAATCTTAATTTCCTTCATTCGGACTGATTGACCTGCGAGTTAAATGTAGATGAACTCTGGATTTTCTTTCATGGTTTCTCTAATCTTATATGTATCACTGAAGTATCCATTGAATCTCAGTCTCCATGTTGCAATTATGGCCAGGCTACTAACAATTCAGAATCAACAAAGAGAAGCAATGGAGTTGAGAAATCTCCAACTACAAATCCAAGAATACCATCCAGATCCATCACTCCCAGTTATAAACCACGTATCAATTCATCAACTGAACCCAAAAACACCCAAAGAATCATAAACCCAAACCAGAGAATCTCTCAGGCATCATCAACAGACCCCCCAATCAAAAGAAACAACAATAAAACGAAATCCACAAATCTTAAAGAAAGTTACACAGATTATCTAACATCAAACCTCTCCAAGCCAAAGGCAAAGCCAAACCCAAATCCAAGAAGTAGAACGACATCCCCAATTGTGAGATCAACAATAGCATCTCAAATTCCAGAATTCTCCAACGAAACACCTCTGAATCTGAGGACTGATCGGTCGAGCTCGGTGACGAGAGGGCGGCAGGTAGGAACCGAGCAGAAACCAGAGGCGATCAACATCAACTCCAGAAGGCAATCGTGCTCGCCAAGTGTGACGAGGGGGCGCAAAGTGGAGGTGAAACAAGAGATTAACAGGGGCGGAAACTTGAGTAATGATCAGAGAAGAACTGAATCTACAAACATTATTGGAAGTCGAATGGTGGAGAGAGTGATGAATGCCAGAAAAGGAAATAAAAATACTTCAAAACTCTGTGTTTATTAAATTTTGTTAACTTAATATCATGCTAATCTATCAGATTCGAAATTTGGATTCAATATTTGATGGCTTGATATCCGCAAATTATTGGCCTGAGCTGGATTTGAACCCTACACCCCTCGAGACAAAGCCATGATACCTACTTTTCTTGAATTACTCTAAGAGTGAAGAATATCTCGATTAATGAGTTCTGTTAACACGAACTTACCTGCATTTTTTGAATTTTATTCATATTTTAAACCAAACAGGACTACATTAGACATTAAATTTTTGGTTTGTTTCTGCCCTCCTATTATACACACAATCAATTAAGCATTGATTCGAGAGGCCAATTCGAAATGGACCATAGAAGCAACCGTATCATCACGTTAACTTGCTATGATACGTTAACTTGCTATAGAATTTTATTGATGTCCATGTCTAAACATTTAAAGGCCAATTGGGATGCTCTTTCTTAGGGTTCATACTTGTTCATTTCTATGCCATCAAATATTGTGATAGAAAGGCTTTAAAAGTATTTTGAATCTGTATTCAATAATTATCGTGACTACTTTATTGCATAATTCTTTATGGTATTTGGTTTCTAAAGGGTCACAACATTGAGTAACTTGTGGATGTCTGAATTTCCTGTCTTCGATTCTTAATGCTATCAAGTTAGATCCTCTAAATACTCATAGATTCTAATTTTTCAAAGAAAAAAGAAAGCTATAGTAACGTGAATATCACTCTCTTCTATTCTTAAATAGAGGGGAGAATTATCATTATTGAGTTGCAATGATCAAGAGTATTTTGCAATATAAAGGTACTCTTTAATCTTCTTCAATTCGAGTCTTTGTTCTTTATTGCCTGAGCTCGACAATTTCATAGGGTATGAAGGTTCGATAATCGTTTTGCTTTTAGTTTTATACTCTTTAATATTAAGTTTACAATCACTATTTCTACCTATAATTTTTTTTTGAAATTTTGCGTAGAATTCAAATGTATTCGAGAAAATAGTATGAAAATCACCATAATTTTTTGTTAAAAACATGGGTTATTTTTCAGTAAAACATAGAAAACGAAGCCATCATCCACCAGAAGCCAATGTCGCAAATCGAGTGCTTACCCATCGACGCCCCAAAGAGGAGCCAACCTCGCCTTCCGACTCATGTCTCCCTCACTCGGAAGGTACTTATTTTTTGTTTTCTCATGTTCAATCATGTCAAGGATAAACATTTTAACTATAATTGAATAAGAAGCTTATTTTGTGAAATTGGTACAAATCACGAACCTACTATTCTAAGTCATATAGAATGGCACATTAGGTTGGTTCGACAGGTTTTTAAGATCAAGCTCTTATCTCAACTACAACAATTTATATCATCTAGTCCATGTGTGAGATCCCACATCGGTCAAAGAGGGAAACAAAGCATTTTTTGTAAAAGTGTAATACCGTGAGGCTGATGACGATACGTAACGAGCTAATGTGGACAATATCTGCTAGTCGTGGGCTTGAGTTGTTACAAATGGTATTAGAGCCAGTCATCGAGATGGATTGTGAGATCTCACATCGGTTGAAGAGAGAAACAAAATGGGTTAAAGCAGTGACAATATCTGCTAGCGGTCGGCTTAGGCTGTTACAAATAATATTAGAGTCAGACATCGAGGGTTTGCCAACGAGGGCGTTAGCCCCCACAGGGGTGGATGTAAGATCCCATATCGGTTGAAGAGTGGAACAAAACATTCCTTATAAGGGTGTGAGAACCTCTTCCTAGTAGACATGTTTTAAAATCGTGAGGCTGCCGATTATACGTAACGAGCTAAAGCGGATAATATTTGCTTGGATTGTTACACCCGACCTGACTCAACCGAATTTTTTTAGGGTTGTAATAGGTTGAAGCTGAATATTTGAGTGATATCATGTAGGTGGGAGCAGAATTTGTTGGCACATTCATCCTCATATTTGCTGCAACAGCCGCACCCATCATCAACCAAAAGTACAATAACATCACCTCTCTGATCGGAAACGCAGCATCCTCCGGCCTAGCGGTGATGATCGTAATTCTGTCGACGGGACACATCTCCGGCGCCCACCTGAACCCCTCACTCACTATCGCCTTAGCCGCCATCCGCCACTTCCCTTGGGTTCAAGTCCCTGCCTACCTCACCGCCCAAATCTCCGCCTCCATATGCGCCTCTTTCACTCTCAAAGGTATTTTTCACCCTTTCATGTCCGGCGGCGTTACAGTTCCCTCCGTCGGCACCGGCCAAGCCTTTGCTCTTGAATTCCTCATTACCTTCAATCTCTTGTTCGTGGTCACTGCTGTCACTACTGATACTCGCGTTGTAAGAACAAAAAATAAATAAATAAATAAATCCCTTCAATTGTAAGTTTTTGCTTAATTTTAGTACTAAAAATTTAATTATCACAGGTTAGAGAGTTGGCCGGAATTTCCGTCGGAGCTACCGTGATGCTCAACATTCTTATCGCAGGGTCATCCACCGGTGGTTCAATGAACCCCGTGCGGACTCTTGGCCCCGCCGTGGCCGCCGGAAATTACCAAGAATTGTGGGTGTACATGGTGGCTCCTATACTTGGGGGGATTGTCGGTGCCGGAATCTACTCTGCCTTGAGAATCAAAGATGATGAAATGGATATTCCGCCGCACGTGAGGAGCTTCGGTCAGTACACAGGTGGCAGCTGTGTTCGTGTTTAAATGTTCTTCTTGTATTCGTAAAAATACCATTTTGGTATCGAGTCGATTGAATTATACTTAAATTAATATTATTTTTGTGTAAAAGCGATCCATGACATAATAATATGGATGTTTCGATTTTAGTATAAAATATAACCAGCCACTTAATAAGAAACGAACGCACAGAGAATCCAGCGAACTATCAAGAACAATTCATAGACAAACGAGAGAGGACTTAATATCAATGTCAAACTCTCCTTTATATAAACGTACTAACGCGTATTTTAATCCTTAATTGGACATCAAATAGATGAAAACAAGAAAATAGAAGATGATTTGAGAAGATCATTGGAGCCAAGCAGACCAAAAGGCAACACCAAGGTGTTGCATGTAGAACTGTCACGACATTACCAAGCTCAAGCTAAGGAAGCATCATCTTGATGCTTCAAAAAATTAAAGATGAAATGCAACATGGTCGAAAAAATTGTATGCACTCCTCCATGAATTCTGTCACATCATATCTAAAATTTTGTATTGCATTCATGTTTTTTACAAAATCCAATTAAGAAGTCAACCTTATGTCTCTAATTCTGCATCTTCTCCGTTCGTGGGTGGTCACCATCTTCTCCGTTTCTTTCCCGATCAATCTTCATTTGTTGAAAGCATACCATTGTCAAGTTCTTATCATTATAACGTTCTGTCTCTAATATGATATGCTTTCAGAGCGAAGAAGTGGTACCGATTACTTTTTCCCTTCTTCTTATAGTATAATATGATTATTTATTTAAATGATATCTAAACTTAAAAAGTATTAATAGTGATTATCTATCAAAATTTTATGTATAGAAAAATTACCAAAATACCCTTACGTTACCCCCTCTCAAATCTCTCCACCTTCACTTCCATCAGAGCGGGTTGTTGTCTAATGCTAATGACCAAACGTTAACAACTGTCGACTTCGACAATTGCCCCAACGATTGCTGCTCACCTTTGTCATTACTAACGATCATAACCGACCACCACCAAGTATCACCGCTCATCGAAGACCCCTGATTTCACGTCACTTCCATTATCGTCAACCACCGATAATAGTCAATGGTCAATTATAGTAGTTTGAATTAATTTTAGGTTACACCAATGGTATGAAAATTAGTTTGACATGGTAAGAAATTGGACAAAATATGAGTTTGAAAATAACAATGAGAGAATGGGGGCCCACAATTGACACTCTGGCAGCCACATAATTCCAAATCGGCACAAAATAATTGCTGTCATGGACAACAAGTCATCGTCGGTGATGGCAACGTGGACACCATCCTCCACGTTTTTCTTTTCTTTTTTTTTTTTTTCCTATTTTTAAAATCAAACAAACAAATATTCTTTCCTAACCCATTTTTACATATTTACCCTTTTGTTTTTACCATCTCCCCACATCCAATAATTTACTGCCACGTTTCCCCGCCCATAACCCGTCGCTCACATTCCCGATCTTCTCTGTCATCATCTGCAGCACGCCTCCGATCACCGGCCTCGGTGCAGGCGGCTGCGCTAAGCAGGCCGCTGCGATTGATAGCAACGCTCCGGCTTCATTGCTATCGAATTCTCCCCGGAGCCGCGGATCCACCAGTTCCGCCACCGCCGACGGTTTAATTCCTTCGCCGTCGCGAACTTCTGGAGGTAAAATTGAAGTCAAAATCAGACCCTTCTCCGAGCAGAAAGCCACTTTTCCGGTGATTAGCTCTAAAACCACCACGCCGAAACTGTAAATGTCGTTCTTCTTTGAGGCGATTCCGGTTCTTAAGTATTGGGGATCTGTGTAACCTGGAGATCCCATCATCCATTGCTTCGTTCTGAAGGGGCTCGACGGCGACGACGACGACGACGACGGATTCGCTATCGCCGATGAGAATCCCATTTTCGCCGATCCAAAATCACAGAGTTTGCAATTGAATCGCTCGTCCAGTAAAATATTCGATGATTTTATATCGCCGTGAACGATTTGTAGACTGCATTTTTCATGGAGGTATTCGATTGCTTGAGCTAACTGAAAGGCTATGGCTAATCGGATTTTCCATGGAAGAACCGGCACCGCTGTCTTCACCACCGCCGCCGGCCGGTTGTGGAGCTTCTCTTGCAAGCTCCCATTGGAGACATATTCGAAGACCAAAGCTCCTTCATCTGCAATTTTTTAAATACATAAACTTTAATTAATCATTACAAATTTGTGATTAACAGTTAATGAAAGTTGAAAGATGAAACGCAAATTATTGAATTGCTTTTATTCTTAAAGCAAGCGTTATCCTTTACTGTCTTTTTTGCTTTATTCTTTTCCTCTGTTTCCTCTGTTTTCCTCTGTTTTCTCTCTGAGTTCGAATCTTTTATTTTTGGGTCTAATCCAAATTTGATTAATTAACAAACAAATAATTCGAATTCCATTAGAGAAGAGAAGATTAGATTTTCACCTCGTTCATCGCAATAGCCAAGGAAAGTGACAATATTCCGGTGGCGGAGCTGCAGAAGAATGTCCAATTCCTGCCGGAACATCCGGTTGAGCCGCTCACTAGCACCCAAAATCTTAACCGCCGCCGGAATCCCCGGCGCCGTCCGAGCAAGATAGACGTTACTGAAGCCGCCGGAGCCGACAACAGTGGAGAAATTCTTAGTAAAAGCCTCGATTTCAGTCCACCGGAACTTCCTAGCACCAAAACCAGGCTGAATTTCAGCATCAAGAACGGTTTTTTTATCAGCAACTTTCGATTTCCTCTTCACTCTAAAGAACCGAAGCAAACCCATTTCATAAAATCAAAAACCAAACAAAACCCAGGAAGAAAACCCAGAAAAGTGCACAAATTTGGATTAATTTGAACAAAAATTATGAAATGAAGAGGGTTTTTTAAGGAATGGGGTCGGTGGGTGTAGCGTCAAAAAGAGGTGATTATTTTAAAAAAGGAAATAACTTTCATGGAAACAGAGAATGATGAAAGAGTGGGATCACAAGAGGGAGTGGGTATCATTGATAATCCAATCCGATATGGTTGGTGGATGCAGGGGCTCTGGATTTGGGCTTGCCTGGGAAGAAGCGACGAAGAAGAGAAGGAAGCTTTTGACTAAGGAACACAGCCAAACGCAGTACCCACAGACCACTCACTCGTGCGGGGCATTTTCTATGTATTTATGGGTTTGTTTGTTTGTTAGGTTTAGGGTTCTAAGGCTTTTGGAAATAGAAGGTGAGGAGGCATTATCTGACACTATTTGGATCTTGTTTTGTTTGGAGACACACTAAGATCATAAATAAATTCATGGGTGTTCTTAGTTCATAACATAAATTCTTGCAAATGTACCATAAACAATGATCTTAACTATGGGAAGTAAGCATCAACCCATAATGGTTCGCCTCAAAAGTCAAATTCCCGTGCCTCGATTACTTCATTTATCATTATTATGTGTAAGATTACACATGAGTCGTAAAGAGAAAACAAACATTTTTTTAAAAGAGTGTGTAAAACTCTATTTAATATGCGCGTTTTAAAATCGTGAGACTATACATTATGAGTTAAAACATACCATCTTTATTAGCTATGATCAATGGAGAGAAATGCTGACATGCTCGAAGATATCTTACCTCATCTTTTAATTCAAACTCTTTCTTGTTCACCCAATTGTGTCTATCTCTTTTTTTTTTTTTATTATTAATAGTTTGGTATTCGAAGAACTTGGATCAATCCAATCCAAATTGTACTGTCTAAGATTGGGTTATGAAATTATTTGAGTTGGGTTCAGTTTAAATAAATAAATTTATGAGTTGGGTTGGGTTAAAACAATCTAATCGAACAAAGTTAATATATATATATATATACACACACATACAAAACTATACTAAAAGTGATTGACGACTAGGGTTTATTGTGGAGGCACAAGATACCTTCGTTGGCGTCAAGATACTCTAAATCTCGAAGCATCGCATCATAACTCTGTCCTATTTGCTTGTAGTTTCGATAGTCTCGGTACAACATATTACTTCGTTTTAACTAAGTGGTGAATAGTTTAATCACCAAATCTCGACTCACTTATATTCTATTATTTAATTTTTGGAAAATTTCGATTCATTTTAAGATCATAATTGTTTTAGTCAATTTTATCAATTTTATTGATGTTGATTGGGTTAGTTGAGTATATTTAATCAATTTGTTAAATTTTTTAATTATTATTATTTTTTATTAAAATTTGTCTATTTTCTTTTGTTTTTAGTTTTGAGTATTTAACTTTTTCTTAATTTTTTCTTTAATAGAATGAAAAAATTGATTTAATTTAACTTTTTAAAAAATCCACTTTAAATTTAATTGATTACACCTCTAAAAATTATCATTTAAAAAAAATGTTTATTTTTAATCTCTAAATTTTATACTTTATTCTATTTTAATAAACCTTAAAAAACAATTTTTATTTCTATTTTAAAAAAAATCACATAAATTTAAAAATTAAAATTGACCCATTTAATTAAAAAAAATAAATTCTTAAATCATAAATGGACAATATGAAATTTCAAAGGTGTGTTAAGGTGCAAAATCATTGCTTAAATATTTTTTTAAAATGTTTAAATTTAGCCATTTTTTAATTATCAATAAAAAAATGAAAAAATAGAAAATGATATGTCAACAGAAAAGGATGACTTCACCCTATAATTGATTCTTTCTTTGAAAAATATAATTTTTTTGTTCAGATTTCAACTGGCATTATTATTCCATAAAATGTTATTTATAAATTAATATTAATACAATAAATGCATGATTTTCTTAAAATAGAATATTTATAAGAATAAAAATATAATTCTTTAAAAGTATTGAAATTTTCGAACTTCTTTAAATAAATATAAGTGAGGATATTAATTAATTAATTTGTATTAATTATCATATTCGATTAATTTTTTTACGAGACATATGAACAAAAACAAAACACGCTGAAAGTTCTCGTATTAGTTTGTAAGAATAATCTTTACTCTTAAAAGTACTTCAAGTCGAGAACGTAACGTGGTCATGTTGAAGGGAAAGTCGAGACTCAGGTCGGAAGGGAAATAATAAAATATATATTTCATATTGGAAGGGCATAAAGCACATAGCTTTAAATTTATTATTAATATATTTTAATTT